ATGTGGGGAGTAGATGGTTATATAAATTTGATTAGTATCTCCTCAAGGTGAGCGAGACCCCGCGTTTAAGTGATAGGGTCCTGCTCACCGTGTCAGGATTCTAATCCCTTAACCACTTTCTCACTACACTTTAAACCTTATAGAGATAAAACTACATTTTTACTGTGGTGCAGTTCTGTGTAAATCAAAACTAGTATCGCTATGACTATACTTGAGATAGTGGTGATGGTTCCACCCACTCTTTTCTGAGGTCTCCAAGGGTGTGCCATTTGTGTCAATAACCTGTGTGATAACTTTCAAAATGCCTTGTATCATCTTTATGCTGATGATGCCATTATTCATTGCTGCTCACCATCTGTTTGACAAGCATTTGACTTTTTACAGTCAGCTTTTAATGTTGTACAGACTGCAGAAACTGATTTTGGTTTTAGATACAGATAAATCTAAGGTCATGTAATTCTCCAACAATAGTGACTTATCAGTTAAAACACCAGTGAGGCAAATCTATAGTTCTTGTCACAAACTATAACTATTTGGGTTTTCAAAGTTCATTTATGGCTGACTTAATGTCTCAAAAAGGACCTAAAGTAAGACAGAGAACCATCTATTTAACCCGAAAGGGTAAGAGGAAGTGGTTTCTTGAGTTTCGGGGAGGAAGAATCTTTAAGAAAAAAAAAAGTTTCACTGCTGTTGGTCTGAAGATAACTATGTTAGGCCTGTGATGGAACTTTAGACGTAGCTAATCACTGTGAATCGAAAGAAATACAAAGGGACAATGTTTGATTTTTGATGGGAAAAGGACTGGAAGACTAAAACTATGGCACCATTGCTTATATCCTGATTAAAGCTATAAAGGCAATTAAGCAGCTGTCAAACATGCCATGCAAAGAAATAACATCTCTGCGTACAAATTTTGGGGAGTGCTGCATCGTACCTCATTAGAATGACGGTCAAACATCATGTTTTCTGTGTCTTTCAGTGATCAGATGTTTGAGTCGTCATCCAGCTTACTTGACCTAACATCTTTGCGCTATGTTTGCTGTGACCGGTCTGTCCTGAGTGTCCAGTACTCTGTGCCCTCTCTTTGCCAGCAGGGTAGGTTGATTGGACACACTTTACGGGGACTCAAATCATCTATTACTGAGCCCTGGGAAAGCCCAACACCTTGGCACAGGGTGGCACGCTGTCACAGGCTGGCCTGGGAACAGCTCAATTAGCCACCTGGCCACTGCCTCGCCATCACAAGACCAAGCTTTTCAGCCTGTGGGCAAGGGAGCAATGAATCAAGAGGATGGGAAGATTTTGGCAGCCAGCTGCTCACACAGGCTTGAGGCAACACCTTCTTTAGCATTGGATAGTCTTTTTTATTTTCCCAATCATCCATAAACTGTCTCTGTGACAGGAGTGCTGGTAGAGAATGAGCTCATCCAAAAACTATTGTTCACCATTAGCAGCCCACACCTTCACATTGCGTCACTTTAACCAAAGCCCCAAGAGGAAACAATGAAAGACAATGAAGGCCAAACTATTGTGTTAGAGAGTTCATTCACAAATTGCTGCGAGAATATCAAGGTTGTGGACTAAATATGTAGTACATCTCTTAAGTCTGATAAACTAGCTATAGGTAGGATTTGGGTTTTCTTTTTGCATACGTGTGCATATCTAGAGAAGGAAGTGTAGAAATTACAAAGATTGAAACCAAACTAGGGCATAGACGGCCAGTGCCCCAGACAGACACACATGCTGTCACACACACACTTCTCACATTTCTGTGGGTGAGGGATTTTTTTCATGCTTTCGTTGAGTGAAAGAGAGAAAGAGAGGTGTGAAGCCTCAGTCACGCAATGGAGCTCTGTTTGGCTCTTTTGTGTGTGTGTGTGTGTGTGTGTGTGTGTGTGTGTGTGTGTGTGTGTGTGTGTGTGTGTGTGTGTGTGTGTGTCTGTGTGTGTCTGTGTGTGTCTGTGTGTGTGTGCTTCAGGTGCTATGGCACAACCAATATGCCAAATAAGGTATGTATGTTGTGGTTAGTTACTGAGTGCATCTCTGATTACAAAGGTGATGGTTTTAAGTTGAACTCAGGAAGTCATTGTTCTAGACAACACCCTTCAATGCTCAAAAACAAATTTGCACCTCTTAAAAAAATCTCTCAAACTTTCCACTGCTACTTGTTTGCCCACAGGTCTGAAAAGATCATTACTTCACAACAGACTCAAGGGATGACCCGCGAACAAACTAGCACACTGCCCTGTGTTCAACTTGGTGGCAGCCGTGTCTATATATATGTTTAAGTGTGCCTGCAGGCACATGTGTGCATGTGCTGGCATTGGGGGAGCTGCACAGAGGCCATCAGAGGCCAAGTTTTGGGAACTTGTTGTGGTAACAGATACATGTGTGACTTTAAAGAAGAGGAAGTGAAAGCTGAGGGCGGCAGCTGTTCATGTGCAGCAAGCCTACGTCTATGCCTACAACAAGAGAGAGGAAGTGAAGAGCAGAAATTGGCAGCATGCCACAGTAATCTGAGTTACAATCTACATGTCTAACTGTGGATATTTGTAGCATTAGTACCATCAAGTAACAAGAATTGTATTTCTGTTTTAGCATTTTTACTCTTCCTTGGTTACCAGTGTTGGCCTGCAGAATAAACACAAGCTGAGATGTAGAAATCTTTTGTTGAAATGTGATATTTTCCCTTCTACTTAAGTTGATTTACTCTGGTTTTGTATGCTGACAAAATGATCTACCTCAGCAAGGAAAGGTCAAGGTGACACCACATGAACCTTTGTTCCGAAATCTCCCGTTGACTGTTTCCTCAATCAGACGATGTATCATCTGTGCTCTCAAAGGTCTCACATTTTATAAGGTCACTGTGACTGGCAGAGGGTTTTTAAGGACTTTCAGACTTTCACAAAAATTTGAAGCGCGTAGCTTTTGCTAATCTATTGTTGCTCTTGCTGGGAAACTGGATGCACATGTTCGTAGGCTATTTGAAAAAAAAACAACAACATACAGTTAGCATGTTATTTTGTTAGTTTGCAGGTCAATTTAATTTTTCTATTGAGGCTTTTTTCATGCTAATGACGGCACTAATGCCCCTTGTTAAGCCCTTTTAAAAGTTAACATTTACCATCAAGCTAACGTGTTTGCAATTCACTTGTACAGCTCGATCGCAGCAACAGCTCTTATTGTAAATCATCAGCCAAGCTTGCTGATGATTGCGATAATATTTCCAGTGTTGTTGCTTTTTTAATTCAAGAAATATTTTGGATAACATCAAGAGTTGTTATGTTTGTATCTCACCCAGACAGTGGTAGCTAGCTGACCAGGCTAATTACTTGTCATATGGAAAGTTTAAGCTAGTCAACTTAAAAGTTTGCTCGTATTACTCATATTTTTATGATTTCATGAGCTATTTATGATCCCAGTCACAGTAAGTTTTTGGCCCAATTAAATAAGTAAGCCAACCAAAGATGTATATAATGTTTGCTCACAGTGGTAGCTAGCTGACCAGGCTAATTACTTGTCATATGGAAAGTTTAAGCTAGTCAACTTAAAAGCTTGCTTGTACTACTCATATTTTTCTGATTTCATGAGCTATTTATGATCTTAATTATCTTAATTAAATAAGTAAGCCAACCAAAGATGTATATTATGTGAAAAGTGCTTAGGCTATTGGCATAAAGACTTCTCCTGCTTTCAAAAAATAACAAAAGATGTGTTCATCTACCGATTTAATGATGACATAAATGGAATTATCAACTCAGCTTTGAGTGAAGGTGAAAAATCACAAGTCGACCAATAATCACAAGGCAACAGAATTGTGTAAGCATCTTAATGTCAGCATATTATGACCAGGTAAAAACAGCATGTGAAGGCGTGTCCTCGCTGTGACAGGTGAGAAAACAAACCAAGAGGTAATGTGTTAAATGTTGGTACCAACAACTCTCCATTTAAAGGACAGAAAAAAAGTGTTTTGTTTTTTGTGTTGTGCATCAGCTGCGTCTGATCTGAGACGTCACCATCTTATCCATGGACAAAAGCAAAAGTACAAAATGTCTTAGCCAAAAGAGAAACTATGTAATTTCATCAGTAATGCCTCAAAGCTTCTGCGCTGATTTTAGAAAGCTGTGACTAAACTCATTTTGTTTCACCACTAATTGGTGCATATATGCTATTATAGCTATTTTCTCATATAAAACCTCCTAGAAAAATCTCCTTCAGAAGTGAGCGAACCACAATGTACACTCCAAAAACTGCTATTTAGGTGGTCCTAAGGAAGATATGGTCCAAGCTGCCCCTAAGGAGCATGTTCTTGACTGATATAAGAGTGTGGTTGTGCTGAGGCCTCTCCCAGGTGTTGAGGTGTGTGTGATTGTTAGGTGACTAAAATAAAAACACCTCCATTACCATGCTCACATATTTTAAATAGCACACAGCACGGAGCGGCTGAGAGAAGAGGAGGCGATGGTTGTTTTTGGCCTGAACTCAAATACCCCTACACTTCGCCTCGCTGTGCCCCCCCTCCTCGCAGACTCTCACCCTAAGCCCTGAGCTCCAGTATGAAATCAACATTGGGCCTGCAGGAAATGAGAGATCTCCACAGGAGATAGAGGAGGGAGGGAAGGTGGAGGAGGAGAAAAAAGAAAAACAGCAGATAGAACCATAGATCTGACTTTTGGCATCCAAGTGTTCACCCTCCATGTCATGGTCCTGCTCTCTTCTCCTGTATCTTCCCCTCTCCTTCTCTCTTCATCTATTCTGTCTCTTTCGCAGTGAACATCTGCTTGCTGTGTGTGATCGTGCGTGCAGCTGCGCCTGCGTCTATACAGCGAGCTTGAAGGGCTCGCCTTATGAAAGGCTTTGGGCTTGTTGTTTTTTCCTGGCACAGTAATTCGCTGGCTAAGCCAAGAAAGTGGACAAGCAGCGAGCTATTTCAGCGGGGCCTTGTTTTTGTTGTTCCACACTCAAAAACAACATGACCTCAAGTGACCCCCCTCAGTTACTCACAGCTGGAATAAAGTAGAGTGTTCAAGGTACGGGAGGCAGATCACAGGAAAACCACGCAGTGCACCAAACACGGATGAGTCCACACTTAGCTCCAAAGGTTCTGCTTTAAAGCGGTGATCCTACATGAGAGGAAGCTTTGAAAGGGACTGTCTTGAATGTGGTCCGCAGGGCCGAGGGGGTATTATGACTTTCAACATGAGCACACAAGCATGCGTACATACTGTGTGTGTGCGTGTGAGTGTTTCGCAGTGTGCAGATAAGCGAGACACACACACTCTCATGCACACAAAGGGGTGGGGTAGCAATGAGGGGCTCGGTTAATGGCTTTTAAATTTCCACTGAGTGAGTGACTTACAACTGTGGAGGAGCACAGCTGTTCCTGATTTGGGGAACAAAGAGGGGGGAACGGCAGCGATCTGAGAGACTGGACCGGGCTGCTCACATTTAATGGGCTAAAATCTCCCAGGAATGACACAGATGTGTGTATGCGTGCGCGTTCGTCTGTGTGTGTGTGTGTGTGTGTGAGTCCATATTTGCCTGTAAGTATCTGTGGTCATCCTTCATGTTCTTACTTTGCTGCATGAAGTCTCCTTTGTGTGCATGTTTGTGCATGTGTGCGTGGGAGAGTGGGAGGGCAACAGGATATGTCTGCGTCTACGACCATAGATTATGGGCGCAGAGCTGTGCAATAGTGGAGATCAACTCATTTGGGAATAAGGAGAGAGAGAGAGGAGGCTCAGATTCAGGAGATTTAATGCCGGGAGAGAGGAAGAGAGAGACTGAAGGGGGAAACAGAGATTAAGGCCAGAGCTCATCTAAGCATGTCAATAAGAGCTGAAAAATCTAACGTCAGCCAGGTGGAAAAAATCCAACATGCTTTGATCAAAGACTTTCAGACAACGACACAGCACGTTTGAACACGGCCTCACTTGAAAACCCCATGCTTCTTTATGTCAAACTTTTAATAGTGGGGTTCCATCGCTTGAAGTACTGCTTCCTGACCCCCCTCCACCCACCCACCCACACACACATACACACGATTCCAACACATAACTTCTCCCCTCCGAGCTGTGCTTTGTTTCCTGCTGCTGGTGAACGCAGCCTTTTTCCTCAGAGGCCCCCTCTCTGCACTGCAGCCTTGTAAAACATAGCAGGTCAGCGTCACATGACTGGGGTCTAGGACACTGAAGGCTGGGGTTGGCCCTTTGCCGCGGCGAGCAAGGGTTGGGTGTCAAAGTACACATGGGTGGGGCGGTGGAGAGGGAGACTGACAGCCAAGCAAGTGAGAGAAATATGGAACAGGAGGGAAAGAAAAAACAAAGAGGAATAGAGAAAGTAAGGCAGCGAGGAATGACTTTTAGCAGTAAACCAATAAATCTCCAGAGAAGCTGAAAATATAAAAGAATATTATTTCCATCCATCCATCCCTCCCTCCCTAAAGAACACCTCTCTCCACTCTCATCTATCACCTCCTCCCTAAAAACAGTGTAACTCTTTTTTTTTCTCACCTCAGGTCTAAGATGCTCAGTCATCCATAGACTGATGCAGACGTGAATGGGAGTCTCCGTGCCCTCCCCTCCTTCTTCCTCTCCCCTCCATGTTTCACTGAGTGATCGGAACTGACATACATATGGAGTACACACATCCTCGTAGCACTGGAGAGAGACAGGGGGAGGGGCAACATGCATGTACAAATCCATAAATACATAATTTTCATGTATATGTATTCATATTTGATCTACAAGCAGCGACTTCATTCTCTGTCATTTTCAGGCCTTTTTTTCTTTCCTTTTTTTGTTTCTTCCCTGAACATTTGGAGCGTTTCCCCAGAGATCTCTTGCTTTATGGGAGTCCTGTCACACTAATAGATTTCACCTCCTCTCATTTTCTGTCTCTCTCACTACCATTCCTTCTCTCCCCCTTTTTTTCTCATCTGCTGCCCATTATAGGCACGAGTGTCCGCTAACCACAAGCTACAGTAGCAGAACGTTCTGGGGGAATTAAATATCTGTTGCTTTTTTATTTGTTTATTCCAGCGGCAAACATGTCTGTTTAGATTCCTTCATTTTTCTAAATGAAGTTCACGTTTCTTAAAAGTTGCTTTTGCCTCTGGCTCAGGAATAACCGAGCATAGGAACAGCACACGTTGCTCCAACTCAGGTGCTATTATTTTTTCATTTTTCAAGGTTAAACTGTAACAGGAAAAGAAAATGGGTAACAGGCATGCATTGTGGTTGTGTACGCCTGTCAAACTTAAGATAGTTTAGAAACCACTTGTTATTATATTATTCCACTTAAGTCTTCTCCAGTTTTTGCGCTGTCTTTTACTTTAAACGTGACCTTGCTACTCACCATATTGTAGGTACATTACTTGACAACAGATGGAACAATGTGGAGTGGATTCCAATGACAGAGTAGCGGCAACTGAAAGACAGGGACACAACTTGAAGATATATGCCAGAAAATAGCAACTCAAGGATGTCCATCCATGTAGAGTGCTGCTCTGCTTCAAATCTAGACAATCTGAACCATCCTTCAGTGTCCTCTCTCTACTGCTAATATAAACAGGAGAGATTTACTTAAATGGGGTTTTGATATAGATTAGTTTTTGTTATTTCATGACCCTCTCTATGCACTCTACACTCTCTTCTCTCATTGTGGTGGTTGTTTTAAAATCTTTTACTTCTTATTTCCCTCCTCTCTCTCTCTCTTTCTCTCTCTTCATCTCTCTTTCTGCATTCTTCTTTCACCAGTCCTGCCCTTTTCTTTTATCTCCATGCCTCAACCTTGTACTTTCTCCGTCTCAATTTTGCGTTTTCCCTTATCCAAACTTGAACCAAAGTCATTTTACTCAGAAACAGCTGTGCTATCCACCAAACCGCATGTCTGCTTGGCTGTTCCTGACTATTCTGTTCATATGTTTTAATAGTTCACTACGGTGGTTTAAAAGCTGGGTTCAGACTGCATTATGACTCAAACCTGTAACCATTTCTAAGGCAGCAGCACCATCCACTACACTGCAGGTTTACTTTGCTGTATGTGACTATTTTGAGGCACTGTTACCGCCTCACATGGACAGTCCATGATCTTGATTTCTGGTGATTCAAATGCTTGTTTTGTCCCCCAGTAGTAGGATCCAGGACTTTGTTGCTTTGTGTGAGAAGACCACAGTAGGATCTGAACTCAGACCCTACTCACATTGACCCATCTATGCTTACTCCTGCAGCGCCATGCAGGGCCTAACCTGTTTAGGTTTCTTCAACCTCTATGGTACGCATAGTCATAAGCATGGTCAAAAAGGGCTTTGAGTGCAGGCCCCTGTTGAGATTCAAACCAGTTGTCTATGAGGTTATAAACAGCTTTACAAATGTGGTTCCACACCCTGCTTAGCTGGTCAGGTTTATCAACTTTTCAGGATATTATGTCATTTTAAAAGCGTGCTTTTCCTTAAAGTCCCACTCCGATCGTTTTTTCATACTGCTTAAAGTGTCATCAGTGGTCTTCAAATTGTGATTACGAAGTTTTTAGCCAAAATCATGTTACCTGTGTCATTTTTGAAGGCTTTTCTTCAGCAGAGCTCCAGAGTTCATTAACAATTCAACTCTGAGTCATGGGCGGAGACAGCGCTGCTCTGCACATTCGTCTCGTGGCTAGCTTGTAGCCCAACATTGCCGGTATACTAGCAGAAGCAGGTAACATAGGAGCTATTCAGTTTTTGGACAGCCATGTCTATAGAGGCATGATGAAAGCTAATATCATAATTAGCTTTCTTACGAGCATTTAAATTCGCCACCGCACACGCTTGTTCTGTGTTGTCCTCTCTATTTCTAGAAGCCTGGCTTGGGTTGCGGGGCTCTGGGGGCGGAGCTTTGATTCGCTACGTAGGAAATCTCAGTGGTCTGCACCTGCCATTTGGGTCTGCCAAAGATTCAAAGTGATTTGAGTGCAGAAATACTCAGAAATGCAATTTTGCACATACTTTTCTTATTTGTTCGGTAGCACCAGAAAAATGCCATATGAACATTTAAAAAACAAGAAAAACATGATTTTCATCAGAATGGGTCTTTAATTCGTGTTCTGAAATCCTGTGAAAAGAAGTCAAGAATAAAACATCAATTTAGTCCAAGCCAGACTATTGACTAATATCCTTAAATCTAAATTGCTGGTATCATTCATAATCTTTTTGAGTTGTGCAACAACAACAGTTCACAAAACAGCTCTCTGATATCATTCATCCAGATCATTTCCTTTACTGGAAGAAACAAAAAAAACAAAGTTTTTATTTCAGGCTTATTCAGGACCTCTTTCTTCATTCAGGCTCTGGATAGTCAGTTCCACTTTCCCCCCATTACAAACCCCTGGGTCCTGTTGATTAAGCCTGCATGAGTAACAGGAATGAGTTTTTGGCATAGAACTGGCCTGAAAATAACCACGTGTCCCAATAGCTTAAGGACACTGAAAGTGTTCGAGTGTTTCACCAAAGAAAGCCTTTTTGACTGAAGAGATCTAAAAAATAATAAAGGATATGGGATATTGACAATGATCTCTTTTTTCATTATGATAACATCAACGTCATAAAATGTATAGAAAACAAAATGAGGAAACTCACAGGTGATCCTCCGAAGGTACAGATGATGACACTGTCTTTTAGAAATCTGACCGGTGAACTCTGCTGATCTTTTAAGAAGGGTTAAGTGAGTGAAATCTTGGGGTCGTGCCTACAATGTTTATTTAAACTCAATTTAAACTGAATTCTACTGAGGAAAAAGGGAAATGTGGGGATATGGAGGCATAAGAAAGATTCTGAGGGATTTCAACCAGTTTTTTTTTTTTTCTTTTACAATAAAATGAAGTTTCTGAAAGTGGTGGCAGAGAAAAAAAAAAGTTATTTTTGGTGTTCTTATGAGTTAAATTTGAATTTCAAAATTTTATTAGATCAGTTTGAAAGACATTTTGCTTAAAATAAATGCTCTTTTGCAAATAATTTTCAAGCAATTTTGCATAGAAATTTTCCCAGGGACAGTAAAGGCACCTGTTTCATGGAGTGGCCAATATAACACAGATATATCTCATAAGTTAATATCTCTAGTCTATTTGTGGTAATGTGGTGCTGAGAATTTTATGATGAAAGTCTTGCATAAACCATGCCTGTGGAGTTTTGTATTGTTGAGATCACATTTGAGCACTCTCGAGAGTGTGAACGACTCTCATCTTTCCTTTATTTGAGATCTTTAAATGAGCATCTGTGAGACAATTTCAGGCTCCTCTGAAAGCTTGTCTTCCCTTTTCTGTTGTAAAATCTCTGTGAGACTATTGAGACAAATCTGAGACTGGCGCTGGTCTCATTTCTCTTCCAGTTGAGATCTCAGATTTAAAAATAATTAAGAAATATTAGAGAACTCACACAAGGCTCATATGGGACTCACTGTGAGACTGAACCACATTTATTCACGATTAAGACAAGTGAGAAAATGGACGTCCTCTCCTCTTGCTCATGATTAGAGGAGACAAAGATGAGACAGTTAATCAGATCTCATGCTAAATCTTTTGATCAGTCACTCTGTATTTAAAGTTCACGTGTGTTATCTTGTTCTCATATTAGGTAAGGTTTAAACAGGGGCAGACTGACTGAATCAGAACCGTTTGTACTGGTAACGGTGGATACACAAATGTGGAATTGAGTAGGTTTTGAAATGGGATCAGTTCCTGTATTGCGGTTATTAGAGCAGCCAAGCTAATTTCAATTCCAGGTAATTACTTGATGAAGTTAAAAGTTTGATGGTTTTCAAAGTTGTTATTTAAAAAAATGTTCCTGAATCAGCACTTTTGCAACATTAAGTGGACCCTCAATGCAAAATTTGTTGTTTTTGTGCATTAGATATTTGATTCTCGTTGAAAAATGACAGCATATTGTAAACGCTCTGTATGCTAAATGCCCTGAAACACTTCCTGTTGTAAGTTAGAGCTGTGTGAATGAAAAACAATTCTGATTGAACCTTTAGATAAAAAACAAGTACAATCTGAAGTTTGTAAGAGTTTCTCAGTTTGGTTCTCTCTGCCTGACTTTGTGTACCATCTCACTTATATATCAAAGTGTCCTTTAGAAACTACCAACAACAGCCTCACCTATTCCACCCCCCGTCCTCCTCTTTCGCTCCATCTTGCTCATCCCACATGTCACATCACATTTCCCAGGCAGCCCCAGGAAAAGGGCAGAGGCCTTATGAATTGATGTGGGTCGCTTACAGGAGCATGGCCAGGACAAGGACGGACAGACGCACACACACGCACACACAAACACAAACATAAAGGTGAACCATAAGGGTGAGGTGACACTGCGCCCACACACTGTCCTTCACATGTCACCTGCTTTCATCTGCTGTGTGGGCGTGCTCTCTCTGAACCGAATGTTGCTTAATTCATAAATCTGCGCTCTCTCAAAAGCACACAAACACACACACACACACACACACACACACACACACACACACACACACACACACACACACACACACACACACACACACACACACACACACACACAGAGTGAGATCTCCTCTGATTTTGTTACACTTTCTCTGAGGGCTGTGACAACAATGCAGCCTCACACCACATTGTGCCCCTGTAGATATGAAAGTAAATCTCCTGCACGCCTGAGCTCCTCTGAGACTTGAGGACAAGCTGTGCAATGACGACACCTATTGGTTGAAATGAGAAATCGTCCCGCTGGAGGAGCTGTTGAGGGGAATGTATGAGATGAATAACCAGTGATATTGAGTGCATTCATCATCCGCTGACAGTAAATTCGCAGGAGAAAATTGACATTAGCTCATAAACATCTATCACAGGCTTGTGTATTCGGCAACACACATTTGAGTGTGGAATGCACTACAGATGAATCAGATGCAATGGAGCAGAGAGAGGAGCTACACTATGATATTTTCGGTGGTTTTTATTAGCACTGCACAGTTTTCACACACACTTTCCCTCCACGATAGACCCGTGATTTATCCTCATTCAGCACAGCCTGCACAAAGTGTTTTATAAGTCCAGTTAAACAATTCTCACCCCTAATTGGTAAACGGAGGGCAGACAAGGTTTGGTGCAAAAAGGGGGAATCCCATGAGCCTTTGAGGCCTGCTTCATGCCCAATGGGCTGGAAGGGAGCCAAGATGTAGTCTGCATCTGTAGTGGAGATGATCCAAGAAGCACGCCTGCAGGGACTGTACTGCTGTGAAACTCACACTGCAGGAGACAGATGGAGGAGATTTCAAATATTAAAAATAAGATTAATGTTCGGACAAATTATACCCAGACAAAAAAGTGAAGACTTTGAGCAACTTTACTACTCAAATATGATTTAATAGTCTGCAAAAAAATCACATCATATCAATAATGCATCAAAACTGATCCATCTGCTCACAGAACAATTTCCAAGACAAGAAATTGCAGCATCATATCGAACCGCCCGTCCCTCCCAGCGCTTCAGAGAAACGCTCGCTGGAAAAATGGAGCAATTTTTAGAACTGGTGTCTTGAAGCTCAGTGATCCACAATGCTTCTGCATGCAGACGTCTCCCGGAGGATAGTGAAAAACACAGAATAGAAAGAGGGAGGAGGTAGAGGAGAGGGAGGGAGGGGGGAGTGCAAATAGAAAGAGGGAGGAGAGGTGAGAGGGAGAGTGATGCAGAAAGAAAGTATAGACAGGACATTCAGTCTTAATATAGGTTGTTATGTATAAAAGGTCAGGTGAATAAAAGGTGGGGAAGGGAGGGAGATGTCCTATCTCTGGCCTTCATCTCATCATCATCATAATCATCATCATCATCATCATCCTCACCTTCTTTTTTCTTCTGTCTTAACTTCACAACAGTACCGTTAAAGTACTCTGAGGGTTACTCAAAGGGAGGTTCAATAGTGAAAGTCATGCATTTGATATCCGGCTTAACAGACGTCACATAAATTAACATCCAACTTCTAACCCAAAAGTAGAAAAGAGTCCTCCTCGCTGTGTGACCGTTACTCCTGTTTCTTCTTAAATAAGCAAAATTGAAGAATTGTTGTTGTGAGATGACACATGGGGTAAGATTTAGAAAATCTGCTCGTGTTTGTGTTTTTTGCTTTTTTTAGTAAAACTTTGCACCATGAGCGAGTTTTAGGGCACATCAAAAATTCATGGACCTACAAGATGTAGTGATGTGATGTGGAGCAGGAGGCCCTGAAGAGGAGGTTTGTTTTTAAATGTCACAAGCAAAAAAAAGAAGTCTGGTATTACTGGTTGAATTTTTGACCAAACACTGAATAAATGGCTGAATGTTACCTGTGGGAGCAAAACATACAGCCATGTTTTATTATTTTCATTATTTAGGGTATTTGAAATAGAGAGACACCAACTAAGATGATGATGACAACATTTTTTTAGAGCTACAACAGTGGAGGAGGATTCTAGAGACCTGGCCAATTAATGGAATTAGGCAAACTCTGAGAATGAAGCATTTTAGACAGAAACTCAAATAAGCCTTCAACAACACTTACCTGAGATAAAGGGTTTTTGATTTGTATATTATATGAAACTACCACAGACATATTCAAGAGACAACAAGAGCCTAAAAAATGACCATAAACACCCATTTTTTAAAAACTCCAGTTAAGAACCTGGGTTTGTGTCAATTATGGTGCCCCCTGTGGACAAAGTGGTCTTCACTGATTTTGAATAATCAGTATTTCTGGACAATAAAAATAAATAAATAAAATAATGCTTTATCTTGACAGTCGAATGTATCAATTATCTGATGTGTAAAATGTGTAAAACAGCTGAATCAGCAGTGAGCAATCACTAAGTGCAACACGTACCCTCACCGGCAGATAAAGCCAAACAAAATAACTGTTAAGACACAGAAGGGCATCCTCTTGTTAGTTGTCTCGTTTGCTTTTTTAGTCAAGAAGAAATATCAGTTTCAATTTCAGTTAATTTCACAAACTGACAGGAGCTTTGATCTATCACAGTTATGTATTGTTCAGATATGGCCTCACACAATGCATATACATGAAATACAGTGACATATGCGTATGTATGTGGGTTTTTGTGCTGCCTTAAGTTGCTCTGCAGTTGAAGCAATATAATTTTAGAGTAAAGCAGTGAAACCTCCTGTTAGTGTCTGAAGTCTGAGTTTTTATTCAGCAGCATTCAGCTGTGAAAATGTGAGATGGTTTAAATATAAAGCAAGGTGTTTTGTGATACATCTATTTTTTACCAGATTTTCATAGCTGGAGGATGAAGCGGGGTGTCATCTCCCTCTTGGACACTGGGATGGTAGTATGGTGTGGTATTTAAATTCATCCTCGTCCTATCAGCTTTAACCCGCCAGCTGCGAAAGAAACAGGGGTCAGGGTTCAAACTGTGTCAGCGGCAAATGTCAAATGACTCATCCCCTACTGTGACTGTCACCTTGGTTCAACGTTCAGGACGCTGACCAACCAGCAGGAAGATATGGAAATCAAAAAAAAAAGAGAGAAGAACAGGGGAAGAACATGACTCTGGAGGCTGGGCGGATGCGTACATGAAAATGTGATGTTGCGTAATGGGGGATTGCATAACATGTCCCATTTGATACCATGTCACTCACTGATGCATAATAGCACCCCACGTTACGCTGCTGGTAGCAAAAAAACTGGGAGGGGGGGCTTTTTTGGAGGGGTGAGATGGGATGATGGGGTGAGGAGGAGGAGGAACATGGAGGGCTCATGGTTCTGTCTCCGAGCAGAAGACATGGAGTGACGGAAGTAGACAGCCAATGGGATGAGGGCGCGGTGCAGTGGAGTGGGAAAGAGGTGGGGGAGGGGGTGGTGGTGGCTGTGGCGGGTGGAGTGTGTGTGTGTGTGTGTATGTGTGTGTGTACGTGTGTGTGTGTGACGGTGGGTGGGCGAGAGAGTGTGGTCGGTACTGGTATTTCTACCCTGTCACATCGGGTTAGTGTGCAGCGGAGCACAACTGCTGAGCACACCACTCTGGACAGCTCTCTCTCTCTCTCTTTCTCTCTCTCTCTACACACACACACACACACACACACACACACACACACACACACACACACGCACACAGGTTTAAATTCACAAGGACACACAGAACCTACTCTTGAGAGCACACACACACACACACACGCAAGCTGCAATCTCCCACGAGGACCACAAGGACATCCAAAACAAGTGAGCGCTGATGGAGGTTTGACAGAAACCAGGGGAGAGTGCTCAACCTCCCAACTTTACCTCCATCCATCCATTTATCCTCGTTAAAGAGCTCCATCCATCCGTCTATTTGTGGATGGAGTCATCATGAAGGAATATTCATTTTCTGGGCACTCGCAATGGAAACATGATTATAAAAGATAAAGCAGCAACAAATGAAAGTCTGTCTGCCCCTGAAAAAGATTTGTGCATAGGGTAAAACTGCACCCTAGTTTTATTGGCTGGATCTGCAGGGAAAACCAGTCATATCTAATTTTGGTGGGGAGCTTTTAAAACCGCAATGTGAGACTGCAAAAGTCTAGAGATGAACCATAAAAATTTACTTTACCAGTGTTAAAAATGTTGCAGCAACGGGTGAAACAGAGCAGCTAAGAAGTCATCATATTGTGCAAGATATTGTGTCAGAGGGAGTCAGAGCAGCTGACTCTGGTCATTGAACGCAACAGGACTTTGTGGTTCCAGCCTTGCAGCTTTTTTATGAAATACCAAGACAAGAGAGAGGGATGATAAGGAGAGAAACAGAGAGAATGATGGTACAGGCTTTACATTTTGATCCCCTGCTAGCAAGGAAAATGAGCGCTAAGCAGATGGAGGAAGCGAAGAATATTTTGCTATAAACGCCGGATTCACACATTCTTCACACATTCTGCACCCTATGTTCAAGGAAGCAGCGAGAGGAGGGTGAGGGGTACAGATGGGTGAGGAGGTGGCGGAGGAGACAGAGTGGTGAGGTGTGATGTTCAGTGACCCGAGCTCTTCGATGACGCCATAAAGTTGGAGGCACGCTCCGATGGCTTTGATCGAGGAGAGAGATATAAGCTGTCCTTGGCCACTAGCTCAGTGCAGCAGGCCAGAGGGCTGCAAGTTACGCATGCGCACACACACGCATGCACGCGCACACACACGCATGCACGCGCACAAACACACACACACGCACGCACGCACACACACACACAGGGCACCGTCAGCAATACAGAGGGTCAGATAGGTCAAAGTTACGTAACTGAGCCTGTATATCCGATACAAGAGCACACATCTGTTCACATCCAAACAGTCATACAAGGTCACACTACTAGCATATCAGCATGAGAGATTTTTAAAGGATTGTTTTTCTTTCCAGAAATTTACTTATTTATATTTAAAAAGATTATTTGTGAAATAAATACTAATAGGCAACTAGCTGGCTAGCTTACTGGCATAAAGACTGAAAATTGCTAACCGGTTTTTAATGAGACTAGCAAAACAAAAGCTACATTTCTGAATAGAACTGAACACTAACAAACAAAAATAAATCATGTTTACTGGAGAAGGAAATGAGTGTTTCTATTAACACACATTTTGTTTTCCTGCACTCAGTCTTCCAGCATGTGGAGTCAAACCATTGGTATTTATTCTGTGTAATTAATTTCTAAAGTTCGTCCTCAGCTCCATAAGCTTTGCTGGTGGAGGCAGGATTTATGACCTATACTGCAGCCCGTCACCAGAGTGTGCTGTTCTCGGAGTGGCTTCACCTATCAAGGAGGCAGACTCTGTCCATGGGCCCTCTGTTGGATCAATTCTGCCCTGACTCCAGGTAAATACACAAACACAGTACGGGGAGAAAAGGCAGAGTTTAGATTTGGACAGCTGATCGCCGGGAGGTCCTCATGGTTGTACGGTGAATGTATAATGCAGAGCATGAATATTTACTTCATTTAAAATGCACTTGTATACACTTCTACTGGGCAAAACTTGTTATGGCTCAACATGCCACCAATGTATGTGTGTATGATGATCTTTCTGCAGCTAAAACTATACAAGTTTTTCATGTATTCTCAAAATGATGCCTTTTCCTGAATTAAAAGAGCCGTATCTAACATTATTGGTTTACGAGTTCTCCAAACCCCAAGTAAACACGCGGCCTGATTTGCTTAGAACTGGGCACTGAGCCGTGAATAAACCAAATCAACGAGTAACACAACAGAGCGAGCTGTGACGACTGTGCGTGGGGAAAAGAAAGCAAACTGTGGGAATGATGTTTATGAGTTTTCCCCTTGAAAAAGAAAAGCTTCTTATCGAGAATTGTCCCTGCGTGACTTGGCAGAATGTGAGAGGAGCTGTCAGTCAGCCAGGTGTGTACTGAGAGAGCCACCACAGGAGGGGGGCCGGAGTGAGGACACAGGTAGAGCACAGGGACCCCCTTAAGTGTCTTATTCAAGGTGGAAGGAGGATGGAGGGGGAGGAGAAGGAAAGAGGTTATCATTTCCATCTCCTCGGTGTGAAGGGAGTCGCTGAAAACAGATGACCTACATTTTCTTTGAGACAGACTCCTGCAGCGAGGCCTCCCTGGATTCAGAAAAAAGATGGAGTGAAGTATGGAGAGGCGCAGAAGAAGAAAAAACACAGTCTGAAGAGAAGGTATAGATATAGAAACAGGCACTCCTCCAGTTTGACAAGGCAGACATGAAAAGGTAAAAGACGCATGCAGACAAAAGGAAAGTGGGAAAGTTTTGACGGTAATCCTCTTCGACTCTGCCTTGCTTCCCTCTCGAGTGGTTATATAAAACACATCTAGAATTCTGTTCTGTGCACTTCAAAGAGCCTGCACCGCTTTGCAATCTGCATATATGATGCGTCCAGGGAACAGCAGCAGGGGAGTGTGTGTGTGTGTGTGTGTGTGTGTGTGTGTGTGTGTGTGTGAGTCTGGGAGGAATGTTTGAGTCAAAAATAAGCTTCTTTGGAAAGTCTTTAGATTACTTTGTGTTTAGATGAGCCACTTGGATCAATGACTGCTTAAAACTTCAAAGGACAGCATTTTCCTGTGTGGATGTGTAAACAGAGCTGTAATCATTAGAAACAAAGAGTCGCTTCGTCTTAATGACACGAGTCCTCACACTTTAGTAGCAGGAATGGCTGAGAAACGCGTTGTCAAGTGCCAGCCTGACCCGAGGTTAAATACATGAATTTACATAAGAAGAAATAAGCGTCTGACTCATAAGTGTGGGTGCTGTCATTGAAATAATGTGGCTTCAAATAGAGTCATCTCACTGAGGGGGAAAGCGTCATAATTCCTGGTTTGCTGTTCTGCTGCTGCCACCTGCTGTTCACAAAGGGAAGTCATAAGGCTTTTATATTCTCCTGAGCTGTATAGATGAGTTTTTGTTTGAGTTTGTATCCATATTTCATTTCGGCTTTCTCTAAAGCATTCATAAGAGCAGGTTTTTGAAAATTATCAGCATAAAGCACTGAACTTTGGGGGGACAGAGCCTTCTCCGCTGCCAACCCCACCCTCTGGAATTCACTCCCCAAACCCACCTTAGACTGTGCAGACCCCCACATTTTTAAATCACTCCTAAAAACACAGCTTTTTAAATTGGCTTTTAACCTGTGAACTTTTCTTTTATTGTCTTCTCATATTGTGTCTTTTTTAACGTTTTCATCATTGGTTTTATTTCTCAAAATTTTCTGTATTTTAAATTGTGTTTTTAAATTTTTTTTTTCTTTTTCTTTGTAAAGCGTCTTTGAGCACCTGTAAAAGTGCGTTATATATAATATGTATTATTATTTTTTATTATTATTACAAATTGAAAGTTTGTGCATTTAAATTCAAATGTGAGCAGAGAGAAGTATGTTTTTTACATGGTACTAGGACCACAAGGTTGTAGTGCTGATATAACTTCCATTTTTAGGCTGTCAAACCATTAAGTATAGAAAAGCAAACATTCTATATTATCCTGAGAAAATTAATTATAAATATTTTGTACCTATTTTTATTGTACCTTTTAATTCTGTTTCTCCATTGCATTGGTAATGGAGAAGCTCTCCAATCTCCAAATTGTACTCCAGTATAATGACAATAGAGGGCATTCTGATTCTGGTTAAGGGCCTGTGTTCACTAACGCTGCCAGTGCCTCAATTTTAGAGAACTTTGCTGTGAAATTTGCAAGGTCATGAAAGTTTTCTCATGGCACTGGCATTCCTCTGACCATCGAGCCTATTAGAAACATTTCTTTTGTATTTGCTTCCATCAAAGAAATAAAAAAGTTATTCATAAGTTATGAATAAGTTATAAAACAATAATTGAAAAGAATCATTGAATCAGAATCAGCACAGGCATTCATACTACCCTTAAAAAATCAAGTGCTGTTGGTTTCTCTGTCATTCAGCCCTTCACTGTCACAAAGGTAGCTGATATAAGATGCCCCGCCCCCTTTTGATATGGAATGGTGTCACAGCAGTGTTTCAAAGGTCGAACTATGTATGTCTTTAAACATCCCAGTGATCACAGTGACAAAAGCAGCCAATACTGAGAGTGTCTAGTGCTTAAATTATTGAGCAAAAATAATATCAAACTGTGTCACTTTTTGAGTAGAAAAAAATGCTGTTTGTGGACACAGGCCCTTATACATTCACTTACATCTACGTATCCATTTTACTGCAGAACTATGTTGAATACTGGAACCTTGGGCACCTATTTGGCCTGCTGGTTAAGTTGTACTTCCCATAAACAGAGGCTGTAGTCCTCAAGCTGGTTTGATTCCAACTAGTGACCTATTAAGAAAAATGCCCTTATCAACTTATCTGTTAACCATAATAGAAAATAGAGAATCTAAAAATATTCTTGCACTTTCCATTAGATATTTTTACTTCTCAGTGTGAAGCCGTATCAGAGAACAAATGGTTTTTAGACAGGTTGAGATGTCATAAATCCTACTCTTACATAAACGTCTTAGACTCAGCGTTAATGTGATCACAGAGAAAGTCTCTCTCCAGTAGATGAGTGTCAAAAAAAAGCTGTCTTGAGTCACACTCAGCAAAAAACATCTGAGTGAGGTGACAGAAAGAGAAACACATTTTTCAGCTGAAGGGAGCTTTACCTTTTTTTTTTTCTTTTTGGCAGGTGAAGTTGGATGAGTGAAGTAGCTTTGATGTGAGTCCCTTACACCACCCACCAACTTTGCGACAACTTATGCGACTCCTTAAAGGCACAAGACTTTCAGAGTAAAACTTGACAATGAGAAAAACACTTAAAACATGTTTCATGTTGACAATTCAGGTCCTTTTTAGTGATTTTTACTCAGCAAACAAAAAAAGAGGGTATAAAATAAAATTCTGACATGTAAAATGACCAAACCAAGTAAGTGGTTTCATGTTACACAACCTACACAACCAAAAATGCCACTCAGCTTGTTTGACATAAGTGGTTTGACACATTACAATTCCAGTAAGAGCATCTTCAAACAAACAAAGTGTGGGAAATGCAGCTGAATGCATGCTGTTTGACTTGGAATTCATCCACGGTGCACTTTATAAAAACCTAATGACACTCAAGCAGAAACATCATCACCAAAACATGATATAAAAACATTCACATAATGAAATGAAATGTGAGAACACCTTCATGTAGAGTAGTGCTTCAAACATGAATCAGAATAATGCTGAACTAAAAAACAAAGGGTTCACAAGTTCACACAGTGTTTTATCCATTCATTCATGGACATGTGGAAGATATACTGTAGACAGCAAAAATAAAACCAGAGCAACCAGTCCAGCTGCAAGATAGTGAACAGCTGTGAGGAACAGTTTCTGTCACGTGACCACACTCAAAAAGGTTCACATAAATGATCATGTTTATAATGTAATAAGTGCTGTTAAAATGAAAAGATCTAACGGCATAATCATAAATAAGTAATATGACTCGTGTAATGTTGTTTGACTCGGAGCTTGTGGTACAACTCCCTAATGCAGCATCCTTTAAAAACAGGTTTCTAGGTTACAACTAATAACTTTATGGTTAAGTGGCTAATCATTTACCAAGATTTGAAGGATCAGTGATAAGCCATTGATAGGATTAACTTTTGGGTTGCAACACTAAGGAAAAAAACATTTCCCCACTGTTAAGTCTATCTGTGTGCCAATAATACAGTAAATACACTGATCAGAAATCAGCTGTTTGTAAATGGAATTTGCTCCATATGTTTATCAGCCTTTCCCCAGAACTTAATGTCATTAATTGAGGATTTAGTTACAATAAATGAACTTTTTATAAAGAGCGACTGATGAAAGAGGGCCACAGCATTACAACACTGATGGATGACTTCCAGCCCTGGGATTCTTTTCTGCCATGTGACAGTGACTTGAACATATTTCTTGTGTGACAAAGCCCTCTTGTCTTTTGTTTATTAATGACTGGTACGTCCCACCTTTTTCTGACATTTTGTAATATCAAGAACTTCACTCTTGATTTAAAAAAAAAAATGACAGAAATAATAATATTAGTCCCAGCTTCTGTATGTATGATTTAAGCAGATTCATGCTGAATTGAAAGGAAACAGTGTGTATAAATAAACATATTTTGTGATACTTTGGGAAAACTCTCTTGCTCAAACCTCCTTTGGATAAAGCAACGGTGGCCCTCAAGGACAAGAAGCTCCTGTGATACATAATCAGTTGAATCCTCAATTTTCCAGACTTTTACTTTGCCATTACAATGCATTTTGGGCAGCATCTCACCGAATATGAAAACATTTATGTCACTAGTTTGTCCTTTCGGTGCCACTGTAGAAATGTGGTAGTGCAAAACGGCATAGGGGTAAAAGTTCATAAAAAGGCTCATTCTCGGTTGAAAAAATAAAATGTCTTTTTTTCTACAACAAAATTTAACTTGTTTGACTGTGCTGATAGGAGTGTGTTAGCTAAAAGCTGTACAGACTTTTTTTTTAAAGGATCTCTGTCTCTTCTTTTTTTGTGTGCTGACCAGTGCTGATTGTCCCCTGACATTGGTTTCATAACATCACAGAAGGCTTTAGCACGACTAATTTTTCAGTTACAGAGCTTTTTAAAACATTTAAAGCTATTGACTTTGTCCAGAAACAGTAGGACCAAATAATGCTCCTAAAATACTATATTTAGGTGGATTTATTCACTTTTTCTTAAGAGTGTAAACATTTCTCTCTGTCAAACACTAGGCAAAGTTTTCCTTCCCGCGGTGATCGTGTTCAATAACAGATCTGCTGTTTGAAAGTTCTTGATCTTGTCTATCATCTCCCCCTTTACTTTACAAGAATACTCTAATTTCAGTGAAACACAGCAGTTAGTGGTACAGGAGTCCTTAACAGAAGTCAGTAGCAGCATGTGTGAATGCAGCACCTCTCACACCATGAGAGTCTTGGTGCTCACAAATTTGCCTCGAGACTTGCGTCCAAAGCTGGAGACCTTCCTGCTGGTGCTGCTCCTCATAGACCCTCCTTTCAGCCTACCACTGCTAGGCAAACTCCCTGATATTGCCTTTGTGGGTGGTTTTTCGTCCATCTCTTCTTCAACTGCCTTAAAGTTGTAGCGGTTCTCGCAAATGCAGTAGCGCTCTGGATCATGGGGAGGCTCTTTGGTGCAGAACCACTTCATGGAGCTGTAGAGGAGCTCTGCGCCGCTGGAAATGGCTGCGATCACTCCTATGATGAAGTAAAAGCAGAGGAAGACGGTTTTCTCTGCAGGGCGGGAGGTGAAGCAGTCCACTGTGTAGGGGCAGGGAAAGCGGTTGCAGGGGAACTGGGCTTCCACCTTGAATCCATACAGATACCACTGCCCCACAAGAAACCCAATCTCTGCCAGCATCCTGAAGGCAACGTTGACGATGTAAAACCTCCTGAAAGGAAGATCTTCTCTGGAAGCATGGCTGCTGTTCTGGCTGAATTTAGAGTGGTTGCTCTTTTTGTTGTTGTGATGCATGGCATACATGAGAAAAACTAGAGACGGTGTAGCAATGAGGACGATATGAAACACCCAGAATCGGTACTGGGAGATTGGGAAGGCCATGTCGTAGCATACCTGTTTGCAGCCTGGTTGAAGGGTGTTGCAGGCAAACTCTTCTTGCTCGTCCTCAAATAGGTCGCTGGCAACAGTCCCCAGGATCAGGATCCGAAAGACAAGCATGAGCAAGAGCCAGAAACGGCCAAGCATGGGGGAGTGGGCCTGGAGGCTGTCAAAGAGCCCACCGAGGAAGCCCCATTCACCCATAATTGCAGAGGGATGGCTTGTTCAAAAGTTGGGAGATTTTTCCACCTGTCCTCCTCAAGGAAGAAATTATCTCTGGTGTGAAAAGGAAACCAAAAGGTGTCTTAGGATTTCCAATCTGTGACTCATATTGATAACCAACGGACAAACCTGCATTGTACAGGCTGGTTCAGGGTCCAATAATCTGGAATGAGAAACCAAAATTTTGTTCAATGCATAGCCCAGTCATATTACTCAAGACATAAAGTAATAAAGCTAGTTTATATTCAACCAGGAGCAATCTTAAAGAGATGCAAAGAAAAACCAGTTGAGTTTTACAACAGGAAATATAAAAATTCAAGCGAGAAAATTCATCATCAGCGTACTGAATTTCAGTCAGCAAATTTGTGCCAAAGGCAAGTTATTCTTCTGATACTTTCTGACCATTATGTTGTGTGCCTTAATACAGCTTCACTCAGCAACATGTTTTCACTGTTATATGGGTGTGCTAGCTGCTTGAACAACTTGAACTTTACTTATACAGCATTCCTGACAAGCCAGTAACAACAAAACAGGTTGATCCTGAGAGATTTCATTTACCTGAAGCAGAGTAAGGAAAACCAGTCTTCTTTCTGTCTTCCTCACTCAGGTATAGGTCCAACAAAAAAGGAAAATATCAGCAAAGAAAAATGAAGTCCACTCAAAGTGTTACCACACCAGTTTCTAATCCTCTCACTGCCTGTGATTGAGGTTTTACCGGTGCTTATAATTGAAAAGGGCGGCAGCAGTTTCAGGAAATTCCTGTTACGTCCTAATCTGCAGCCATCAAGAGTCCCGGACAGAGGAGATGTTTACCCAAAAGAAGCGAAGTCTTGATGAGCATTTCAAAGAGCTTCCTGAACATGAGTTTCCACACTCAAAAAGGGGTTTTAACAGCACACAGCACCCTGTGATGCCATGCTTCATTCAACTCAGCCCTACAACAAGACAATTCCTGTTGAGCCTGAAGTGAAAGATTTGATTTTTTGGACACAAGATATTTTGACGTGTGAGTCTCTTACGAATTAATATTATTATAAAATAAACTTCAGATGGATACAATCTGAGAAAATTTGTCTCTTACCTATCCAAGTCTCCAGTCGACCTGCTCCCCATCACACTTTAGTCGGATGTGTGCTGCTGAAGCCCCGCCCACCTAATTTGAATATTTCTGAAACATGATTTATGCAGTACTTTTTTGGATGACATACCCCCCCACACAAACACAGAAAAGTACACTATTTATTCATTATGAGAAATATTTCACTCATGCAGAGGGACATTTTTAAAAAACTCTAACCTGTCAGCCACCAAAATGTTGACAATATGAATGTTGATGTTAAATAACTTTTGTGGATGAGCTAACAAAGTTTTTTCACTGTTTCTCTATTAAATTTTCATTATTTCTTTATTATTGCAGGTCCATCTTGAACATAGAACCTTTTAACTGTTTACGCCTGATGTAGATGAATGATTTTGAATAGTGAAAAGTAAACAAGCAGCCGACCACACAAGATGATACGAGTATAACAGATCACACCAGAAAGTCACTCATAACAAGTACAATTACAGTGAACACATGTTAGCTTTATTTTCAAGATTAACAAACACAGCCATTGAAATATTTACAGGACTGGACAAAACACAGAAAAACTTCAAGGTAACAAAATAATTTGCACTAAAACTAGAGCTGCACACAGGTATCGTGAGGTCCATGTCTTTTGACAGAATGCTTTAATTTTTGTTTTGTAGAATAAACCTTTTTTTCTAACTGTAGCTCAAATGTGTGATTATATCAGAACATACAGGAATAAAAGTCAAACTAATAGTAACAATTTGCATTCAGAATATAATGAATGAACAACTTTAAAAGGAACTACAGCTTCTTAGAAACTGCCTCAATAACCTGGGTTTAAAAGTCGGAGTCTGAATCCACTGTGTAGGTTATAGGTTTGCGGGCGCGTGAGGGCTTATCTCGCGGTGCCACAGCTACTGGAGCTGCATCCTCTTGGTCTGAGACCTGGAAGCTGTCATCATCGAATTCCCATTTCTTGGTTTTCTGAAAGAAAAAAGAAAACTATCAGTTAAAAAGAACATCTTCATATTGACGATTTTTGAGATGTTTCAATCTGTGTTGAGCAAACCTTGCCGCCAACTGATTTTTTGGCTTTCAGGCGAGACATGAGGTTGTCAGAGCTGCTGTCGGAGTCGCTGCTGATGTTTGTTTTGCGTTTGAGGACAGGCTTCGGCTTTTGAACTTTAGCCTCCACAACGGAGTCCCTTGAGTCAACTGAAGGGGCCTTCTTTGCAGGTTTGGTCTTGGACAGAGCATCCAGGATAGACGGCTGCTTCACACCTTTAAAACATTGGTATGAAAGACACACAGTTTTAACTGTAACATATATTTTCTTTTTCTGTATCTCCTTTCAAAAATGTGTGTAAATACAACAAGCACAAATCTGACTTGGATTATTACTTTGAGTCCGTACCACACAATCCAACCAGAGCTCTCCTTTAACAGTCTAATTACCTGCAGCTTTCTTGGATGCAGCAGGAGCTTTCTTAGGTGCAGCCGCTTTGGTTCTCCGTTTAATAGGAGCCTTTGCAGTGGGCACCTGGTCATCTGACTGAGCTGCAGGGGACCACAAACAATAAATCAAAAACTCAGACTCGTGACCAAAGTTTCCCCAACCTCGTGATAAAACTGCTCGACTGAAACTACTCACAGCTTGACTTGGTTACAGCCGTTTTCACTGCTGGTTTGCTTTTCGCCACTTTCTTTCTGCGCAGAAGAGACACAATTTGAATTGGGAGTGAATAAAAAGCCACCATGTAACACTTTGATATCAAAGCAGCTTTGTACTCTTCGATGTCTCACACTCACATTGGTTCTGAGTCCTCATCACTGTGAGTTTTGGGCTCAGGGGCGAAGTCAGAATCATCATCACTGAATGCAGCTTTCTGTTTTGGAGCATTCTTCTTCTTCTTCACTGCAATTAATTCATCTTCGCTGTCGCTCAAACTGTCCTTTACTGCAGCTAAACAAAGAGACAACAGAATAAGCGTGTTGTCTTACTGGGGTCCACCTAAAACAGATGAGTTATCTAACTGTTGTCGTGAAGGCTTGATCAAGATAAGAGCGCCAATCAGGCACAGGAAATGAGCTCTCAGAGTGTTTTTGTTGCATAAACTCAAACATTTTTAGAAGTGATTGCATCTTATCAAACTGTCTGAGTAAGCAAAGAGCTCAGAGTCGAAATACGCCAAGTCATGGTACGTGAAAACAAGCAGCTCGGAGCAAACTTAGAAGACGACTACATGTCACATCAGACGTTGTCAAGTCGGCGCTTTCACCTTTTTCGTTTGGGGCAGCCACCTCGCATGTCTCCATGTCACTGTCGGGTGACTCCTCTGACTCGCTCTCAGACTGGCCCTCAGACTCGTCATCAGACCAGGGATTCTTCTTGGGTTGCTTTGTGGCGGGCTTGAACTGAAGGGTGCTCTGCTTGCTGGTCCCTGAGGCTGCAGTAGAGATGCAAGTTTTCAGTCATTGCTCACAAACAGAAGCCAACGTACAGCAGGTCTAGATTTTAAAGGGTGTTTACTGTAACCTGACAGTCATAATAATCATGTTTGTTGAGAATGTGCTGATATGGTAAAAAAAAAAAAAAAATTTTTTTTTGGACCTTTAAGGAAATTGACGGGGGCGCAGGAATTTGACTGTTCCTCCTGTTCCTGTCCCCCCCCCCCTCTGTCTGTGAATGTCTTTGAATGTTTCTTGGACAGGTTGAACTAAACTGAAATATTGTTGCTCTGTACATGTGACATGTGCAATGACAATAAATTCCTCTGATGATTCTTCATTTCAGTTTCATTATTACAGTCTGTTACTAATCTACAAACTTGCAAGTACAATATCCTTATGTAATGAGTGGTAAGCTTAACCACTGTCATAAATAAAAGATAAAAGCATTCAGAATGACCTGCAGACACTTTGCCCTGGCTGCCGGGAATACTTCAAAATAAACACTTCATTTCCTGTGATCACAGATAAAGCGCAAAACTGGTAGATAAGATTTTACTCCTCTTAACTTCAGGATCCAATCTCACCTCCCTTTGCCTCGGTTTTTATCTTCTTGCCAAGTCGTGCAGCCAAACCCAGCTCCTCATTCGCCTCTTCATCTTCTTCAAAGTCTATCTTCTATAATGACAAAAAAAAATCAGGTCAAGCGTGTTGTAACTTTTTTTCTCAGGAGTGTACGGACAGATCACAAACTCTCAAATTAGTTATGATGAGTGACACTGAGCGAGAATAACAGGATGTAATTTATCTGAATCTGAAAAGACGTACCTTGGCTGTCTGGCCTCTCTTGCCTTCTCCCTTCTTGGCAGTCTTTTTGTTGGCTATGACCTTCATGGCACTGGTGACACGTGGGACAACGCGGCGACCCTGTGGCGTGGGAAGGGTCTCCTCCTTCACCTTCACCGCTTTACCTCTCCCTTTGCCTTTAACGGGCACGCTAGCCTCCTCCTTTTCTTTGGCTTCAATCCTCTACGAGCAAGACAGAGACAAGTTCACCAAATATGTTTAAGAGAAAACAGACTTAAAATGTGAACCAAGAGTTTCTACTACTGCTCAAACGTGATGTCTGCTTATTTAATGCACTAAAAATCAGTTCATAATGAGAGGAAGAGCAGAAAGACGAAGGCGATACCTCAAGTTCCTCGGAGAAAGCAACAAGGTCTTCCTTCCACAGGTCTGCTGGGGTCTTCTTCTTCATGGTGTTCAGCTCTGTCAACTACAAACAGATTAAATATGAGACCAACGGGCGTATTTTTAAGATTGTCTATCAAGTTTGAACCAGAAGAACAAACACTCTCAATGATGTCACCTGATGGTTTTTCAAGAGCTGTTATAAAGCCTAAAGAAGGTGGTCACCATGTTATCAATGCTGACTGATATGGGCTCGACTGGAGTATTTGGCTTTTGATGCCAGGCTCTACAAGGTGGGAAACCTAAACTGCAGTTTACTGCATATCCACATTGGCTTTACTTCCCAACACTGGAGGTTATCGTTTGGTAAGAGCGCATGTTTGTTGAACACCTCACCTTAGCATCCCTCTGCTTGCACAGCTCCTCCTTCTTTTCTTTGGTCAGGAACCACATGGGCATACTCAGCAGGTAGTTGTAGTCTGGCCCGCTGGTGTCCTCCTGCTCTGCTCCCTCCTCCGTTTCATCCTCTGTTTCCACTTCATTCTACACAGAAAGACGCAAAGAGCCTTACATTAAATGTACAAACACTAAAATGTTTGGTTATCCAGTCAGATAAAAAGCAGATTATTTGGGGGACCTCATTTCTCAAAGTCTTACCTTCTCCTGAGCCTGTTTCCAAGCTTTGACTGGATCAGAGTCATAACCCATCTGCTGCAGCATGCGGATCAGCTCCTTCTTTGGCTTGTTTTCTATGAGAAGATGGACAACATGAGACCTCATGATCAAGAGGAATCAAGCAACTGTTGCTCTACGATGTAGTGCGATTTAATAAATTATTTCAAATAAGAAATGCTATGAAACCAGACGCACAGGGCAGTAAGGTAATAACCAAAGCTTTAACTTCACGCATGTGTTTTGCTTATGTGGCTAAACACTGAAGAGCTGCTTACCAATAACCAAGGTGCCCTGGATCTTCTCCAGGATGAAGCGGGCCTGGTTGGTGAGTTTCGCACTCTCAGCACCCAGCATACCAGCCAGCCAGTCCTTCCTCAGTTTGTAGTACTTCATCCTCAGCTCAAAATATTCCTTGAGGATATCCTGCACCGACTCGTATTTCTTTAAGCTTCCCACGTGGTCGAACAGAACCTGAACAGAAAAACAACTTGACCGTTCAAGAAAAGCCCAACTTTTTATCAAACAAAGTGGACTTCCGCTAATACTTCTGCTGCACTTATTACCATCGAGTTGCAAGTGAGGGGGTTCTGAAGCTTGAAGACTTTGTGGAGACCGGCAGCCTCGGCCTCAGCCAGCTTCTCTGCGGTCATCTTGACCACAAAGCGTACTGTGGTGTCGGTGTGGTACTCTTTGTAGTCTGTGATCAGAGGAGGGACTTTTTCTGAGCCGTTCAGCATTGGCTCCAGGACGTTCTCCTTGTAGACCTGGACAGAATAAAAACACATTAAGTACTTTGGCAAAGTTGTATCTGGTCTGTGCACAAGTCTGGTCATGCTAACATTAGCCACATCTGGCCAGACTATTTGTGATACAGTGATTTGCTGAACCCATATTTATGTGGGTCAAATCAACTTTGTTCAATTTGGACAGTTTTCTTAATTTTTTCATGATTTCAGACAATTCATTCCGTTTGAATCTCAAAGAAAAAAGTTGGCGCATGCTAAATATACATCAAAGGGGCGTAACAGAGCTTTAGTGACTGACCTGTGTCCAGGATTTGACGGGCAACTCAGAGATCTCAATGGTGGTGGAGTCAACGATTGCCACCTCTCCACTGTTCATGTACTGGTTTTCCATCACCTGCTCAATGGTTCCTTTAAAGCCTTTGTAGCTTGGAAGCTATAGGAGGAGAAAAAACATCTTTATCACTGTTTGGAAATTGGTAGATAGATCCAAGAGAACACGGTCAGTTCCTGTCCTCACCATCGGCAGAGGCTCGTCTCCGTTGAGCATGCGGTGAATATTGTTGACGATCTCTCGGATGTCGAAGTTGGGGAGCTTGCTTGCCCAACCGGTGCCGATACCTTCTGCACCGTTCACCAGCACCATGGGAATGATGGGAATGTACCACTCAGGTTCTACACGCTGGTTGTCGTCGTAGTTGTACTTAAGCAGGTTGTCATCCACAGCAGGGAAAAGGAGGCGAGTGAGAGGGCTGGAAGGACAAGGAGCATTTTTACTTCGATGACTCTAGAAAACCCCAAATTACCTTTTCATCAAACCGTAGCATTAAGTTATCTGATGTTTACAGGTTGCTCCTTACCTGAGCATGGTGAAGATGTATCGAGGGCTGGCAGAGTCCTTGCCACCATGTAGCCTGGTTCCAAACTGACCCAGAGGCTGCAGCAGGTTCAAGTTATTGCTTCCAACAAAGGCTTGGGCCAGATTAACGATGGTGCTCATTAGAGAGACCTGGAAAACAAAAAGTTGAAGAGATAAAATAAACCATATAATCAAAACTACATCCAGCAGGGATAGCAAAGTAATGGCTGTAGAATTCCGCTTTGTATCTATCATCCTCAGAATTAAATGCACTTATTTAAGCAGTAGCTTTAAAGTCGCGTACGCAAAGTTGATAGATAAATCTTTCACCTCTCCATGGTGATAGGCAGACATCTCAGCCACCGAGCCGGCCAGCTGGGCCACTTTCACCTCACGCTTGTCATTCCTCTTCAAGCAACAGAACAAGACCTTCCTCTGGCCCGGTTTTAGACCTGACAAAGGCATACAGAAGACATTATACCGCACTGACATTTGGCTGAAGTTTAGGAGTAAAAGTCGTATCTATTAAATCCACACACCGTCCACCAAACAGGGGATCGACCTCTCGTTGTCAGAGTTGGAGAAAAGAACCAGCTCCTTGTTGACAAAGTCATTGTAGGAGAGGGACGTGGTGGACTGGCCGTACAGGTACTCCTTTAAAGAGACAGCACAGTATTAACAATAATCAGAAAGCAATTAACTGAGAAAAATCCTAATATTGTTAGGGCGTTACCTCTGGCAGGTTTAACTCCCTGCGCTGGCGTCTGTTCTTCATAAAGGCAGTCAGCCAATCTTTTCTCTCCTCCACTTTCTTCTTGCTAAAGGCCTGAAGAGAAACAGCGAAACAGACAGAAAATAAATACCAACTCAGTCTTCAATTCTGAGAAAACTAAGTGTGCTTTTAAGATAAGATAAGATGTTCCTTTAATAGTCCCATAAGGGGAAATTCCAAATTTACAGCAGCACAGTGCAGACATACCAACAGAAATTCAAGGATAAAGAAACTGTTGATTGTCTTAAGTTGATTAAGAGCCAACGCAGCTCAGTCTAATGGAGTAGATTAAATGTGTTGTGAGAGGAATAAGCTAAACAGAGGTGTAACATCTCACAAGGGTAATAGCCTCATCGTCCTCAGGTCCGGAGTACTTGAATGGGATTCTGTGTCTCTTCATATCAGAGAAGTACTCCTTGGCTTCCTGTGATGTGCTGGTTCCCAAACCTGGATTGACAAAGGTCACGGAAAGCAAGAGCCCATTAGATGAATCATTACAATGACACCTTATTAAAACTTTAACATGCCGGGTATTAAGGGATGAATGCTTACTTTCTGCTTTTACTACCACACAGGGGTTTAAAACAAACCTTTGTAGTATTTGATTTTCCAAGATCTGATGTTGGGCTGGCTCTCCTTCCAAGCATCAAACTCAGGGATGCTGTAGAAAGACATCTGAGTTTTCTTGTTAGTCACCTAAAAAGGAGAAAAAGAGTCATCAATAGCCTTATTTATTACCAACATATTGATCCTCAAAGCAGTTTTTAAGAAGCATGTAAAAAGGTGTTCGAGTCCAGCACTTCTTCGGTTCTGACAGCAGATGGCAGCAATTTTCCATACAAAACAGGCTACACTAGGACGAGATAATACATTTTCTTTACGTTATCACATACATTATGCCTCATGACACCATCAACCAAACTTTCTAGTTTTCAGATTCTAAATATAAAACATACTTTGATAATGGGGGTGATGAACTCTTCCAGGAAGTTGTGATGCAGCAGAGATGGCCAGTTGTGGTGGATGAAGTTGATAAGGAGGCCCTTGATGTGGGAGCCATCCTGATCCTGTCTCAATCACAGACAAGTCCATATTGATGTTAGACAACCTGATTCAGATTCATTGTGCTTGAAGTTCAACCTGAGAAACTGCGTCTACGATAAAGTTGAAAAACTCGACATACTAAAAAGTTAAACCCATTTGTAAGCCCGGTATTTAAGGTCAAACAAAGATGCTGGCACACCTGATCTGTCATGATCATGATCTTTCCGTAGCGCAGAGTCTTGAGGGATTCTGGGTTGCTGTAGTTCTTCTTGTACTGAAGGCCGAGGATCTTAATGATGTTGTTTATTTCAGCATTGTCCATAATCTGAAAAGAAAAAAATTCTTTGTAAACAATTTCTGATAGATTATACCTCCTTAAGTTTCCAATGAATTCATCCATTATGTTAATCTCTTTGTTTCCACACAAGACTCAAAGCAAACCCATTTACACAACACCCGCGGCTGCATCCACATAAATATCGTCACCCAGGGAACCATACAGAAGTCATGTAATGTTTGTTGGCAAGCTGCTGCTGAGATTAACCTGTTTGAGCGAGGCCTCCCGCACGTTCAGCAATTTTCCTCGGAGAGGGAAGACGCCATAACGGTCCCTGCCAACCACTCCCAACCCAGACACAGCAAGTGTCTTGGCTGAGTCTCCCTCAGTGAGGATCAGAGTGCAGTTGATCGAGTTCTTCCCACCTGCCAGAGAGAATATATTTACAGCGGGGTGGCGGAAGATCATTGTCTTTTTTTCTTTGGCTTTAAAACAGAGGTTTCTAAGTCCAACCTGCATCATTGGCATCATCCAGTTTCGGTACCCCCTTAATCTTGGTGTGCTTCACAGCTGAGCACTTCTTGTTGAGCTGGGACTGAGCCTTGAACTTTACCCAGTTCATGATACTTTCAACAATCCCACATGTCATGGCCTTCAGAGAGCAGAAAACGCATGTTAATAATGGAACCAAAGTGGAAACACTTCTGGAAATGCTTGTGTCATTTTAATTGGTACCTGTTTGATAAACTTGTCACCAAGGCGACAAGTGGAGCCAAAGCTTTTCTGCTGCAGAGTCATGTTCTCTTTGGTCTGGGAGTCAAAGGTCGGATTCTCAACCAGACAGTTGACAAACAGCCACATGTGGTTCTTCACCTAATTGGAGAAGGAGAGGAGCAATGTTTTTTTCTGCATTTAAGACACTGCTGTACTTTCAGGGCTGAAGGTACAACAAGGTGAACATACCTGGAAAGGCTTGATAGCCACCCCTGCTTTGTTTTTCTTCTTCACCACTTCGATGATCTTGGCGACCACCTGATCAGCCACATAATCGACATGCCTCCCTCCCTGAGGTCCGGAGGACAAACAGAAGATCTCATTTACAGAATAAATGTCATAAGTCTTAATTACAGTGACAGAGTGACTGGGAGAGCAGCCAAACTTGTACTTAGCTGACAAAGAGCCCTGCTTCTGTCAGCCTTTAAAGGCTTCATTGCTGCTCTAAAACTTAATTTTAAACATGGCTGACAACACAAGATAAATTAAAACTGGCGCGCAGTATTCCAGCACTTACACAATTAAATAATTGGCTTGGCAGAACAGTCAGAACCAAAGCTCAATCAATCACCCTGGTACACATATGCATTTACATTAAGTGCATTATAAAAGATGTAATACACTTTGGCATTACCTTGGTTGTGGCAATACTGTTGACAAAGCTGACTTGCTGGAATCCTCTCTCGCTCATCGTGAGGCAGACCTCCCAGCGCTCGTTGGCGACCTCGTGGACCACAGTGAGGGCATTACCAACCTCATCCACTTTGTCCTTCAAATACAAGTCCACGTAGCTACGGAAACCAGAGACCTGGAGCACAAGAGCGGTTTGTTTGAGACATTTATCCAACAATCTGAGACTCATGCAATGGCCATTCAAATCTTGGAAAAAAGTTCAAGCTTGAGAGGTATAAAATTAAAAATACAAAATGAGTGATGGGTGATTGTATCCTGTTTTGATAACTCTTACATTGAGATATGATTAAAAGATGCACAAAAGATGACTTCACTAGAAAAGAGCTCTTGTCAGGATTAATAAAATGGCAAAATTTAAACACGTTTTCTTTGTTGATCTTCATATCCTAAATCTAAATATTCAAAATTCAAGTTTTGGAAGTCCATTTGACAAATGTTACAAATATCCGAGGAAATCAAGTGTATGATATATAACAGACAAATTAAATACCTATAATAAATTACGTGACACAATGTAAGGCAGCAGAGAAGTCAAACATGGAAACTTACTGGCAGTTTCTTGCCGTTGAGGTACACACGAACACCCTTTGCAACCCCAGCGATATCATAAGCCCTCCTAGTCATCAGAGCCACAGTGTCTTTGTCCAAGATGCTCATTTTAAACTTGGGCAGGTCAGGCTTGAAGGTGATGCAAGTGAATTCCTCGCCATCAAAAGAACTGATTTTAGCATCTCCTGCCCTGCCCATGTTGTCATACCAAGTCTAGAGCGAGAGAGAGGGGGAGACAGAGACATGCTTTAAAATAACTTGGTTCCCTACAGCATTTACAGAAGAGCAAAAGAGGTTAAGACTTCCTACCTGCTTGAAGGACTTCTTGGATTCTTTGCAGGCTGTCTCCACAGTGAACTTTGTGCTAAAGATGTTGCAAAGTTTGGCACCATATCCGTTGCGTCCACCTGAGGAGCAGCATGGGAGCTTAAATGTGAGTAAAGGTACTCAAAGAATTGTCTACTTTTCAGACACTAAACATGGCTGTTTTCTTTACACAAAATCTATGTGCAGTTTTTGTTTACAAGACTGTGAACTACCTTATTTTCAGTGTTCGCGGTACATAATGGTCTTGGGTGGGTTAAAATGGAGAAATACCACAGGCATTTTAGTGTAAACTAATGTAAGTAGTGAAAATATTAGGTGTAAACAGCATATCTGCCTGTTACCCACTGTAAGACTCAGTCTGAGGTTCTTTTTTGGGTGATAGTGACCAAAACTAGAGGCATACAATCCAGGTTGTATGAATACCAGATTCTACTTATTTTAGGTGTATCAATCTTTTTATCGTTTTGCCGTGTAGCAAAACAAAACAGTCCACAAATTTCTGAAATTATCTCACCAGTGACTTTCTTCTGATCATCGTTGTAGTTACTGGAGGTAAGCAGCTGTCCGAAGATTAGAGCAGGCACAAAGACCTTCTCCACCTTGTGCTCCACCACAGGAATTCCCTTCCCATTATTCCACACACTGATGGTGTTGTTTTCACTGCAAAGAGAAATATGCACATCTTACACCCCAACCACCAGGACCCCAATGATATCAGAATGTTAGAAATTTTTCATTACTCACGCATCAATGTTCACTTTGATAAGAGACATGTTCTTGTCCCTCTGTTTATTGTCAGCTGCATTTACTGAAGGGGAAGAAAAAAAAAGGGAAAACACATTAGTATGGTAGTGTTTGCCATCATTCTGTCTGTAAATGGTCTATAATATTCACTTTAGTAGATGTTCACTCACCGAGGATCTCGTCAAAAATCTTGTAAAGGCCAGGAACAAAAGTCACATCACGGCAGTTCAGTCCAACATCTGCATCATACACCCACATTTGCTGTGGATGAAAGTCAATCAGTTCACTACACCACATAATGTTTTAGCAAATGTTACATGACAAGACCTAACAATTTATGTTGTGTGATTTACATCTTGTACCTCTGCAGTAAGGACAACATTATCTATTTACCTGAGTGACACTTATGTATGCATCTCATTCACTGTTGTGATTGGTAAGGCCTGGAGTATATTTTCATCATGTTTTAGTAGCTTTTTATTCAGGTTGTTTTGTCTAGTTTCATGTTATGTCCAACGGGATGTCACAGGCTTTGTGCAAAACAAATCTACCCAAGACACAAGTCGAGTTAGCTGAACCTTACTCTGAATATATACTGGTCTCAATAATATATACTGTACTCAACTGGTCCATCCAAGCTCCTCTGAGATGTCCCATGAGACTTACAATTAGTGTCAGTTCATTCATTAAAAAATGTAACCGACATCAATGTTTGACTTTTTACCTGGGTGACAGGCTCTACAGAGCCGATGTAGGAGTCTGGTCGGAGCAAAATATGCTCCAGCTGCGTCTTCTTTTGATAGATTCTCTCTACCGACAGCCTCTTTGGATCTTTCTTCGTTTTTTCCACCGGCTTGTTCCCGAAGAAGGTCTCCTGTAAACAGCACAGGGTTATGTTGTGAGGGATTTTTATGCAGTGCAGTCATGATTTGATAGTGTGGTACATATTCCTGCCAAATTCTGCACTGCCTTTAGCCAAATGGGAGGAAATCTTTAATAACTATTGTTTTGTCTAAATAATCCCTTATTGTTTGTGTGCACAGATCTTAAAGTGTTGCATAGAGACAACTGAAAAGTGAGTTTTATCTGAACCAGGATGTAACAGCGATGACATTTGCTGACCAAACTACATGTCGACCACTACCTTTACACATAAATGAAAAAGATAATTAGACTGTCACATTGGAAGCAAGTTCCTGCGGATATGTGCGACTTCTCGCTCAATTGGTGTCGCCACTGGGTCTAGGTCGCCATTAGCTAGTAAAATGGCGTTGCGTCAAAACAACACAAGTGCAAAAATAAAACATTTAGTTCATGACGTCTACGAGGGGAGATATTACATTACTATCTACTTCGTGAGCGATATGTTGGCATGGGTATTAGCGTTTTTAACACCGAGTGAAAAGATGTCATTACGGTAAACCAAAATAAGTCAACGTTAGTTAGCCATCTTTGCCCGTTACTTTGTCTCACTTTTGGGTTTTTCAGCACCAGTAGGGTAAAAACCTTCCTCAAAATAACACGAACTAACGTAACAAAGTTACCTTTAGTGGTTCGGCCATCTTTCTTCTCCTATCTGCAGAACCCTAGTTTATATCTGTGCTACCTAAATTTTTAGCTATTTTCCCTGGCTGCACGAACACGTTCCGCTCCCGATTGAGCTCAGACCTCTCTTTGAAAATTCGAACTCTGGGCGGATTATTGGCGCTAGCTGCACCGGCCAATCGGAAGAGAGTATTTCTTCTTCGCTTACTGTTTGAATTATACCGGCTGTTGTCAGTGGTTTAAATGCACATACTGCCACCCATCGTTCCGGAGTAAGCATTTTGATTTATTTTATTTTTTATTTTTTTTAACTAAACGATAAAAACGTACAATCTGAGCGTCATAGTGAAACCAGTACAGGGCAAAAAATACCTACTAAGCTGGAGATCATCAAGATTCAGAACATCTTTTTATACCAACAGCCATTAGACTTTATAACTCTCGTGTAAATAGTAGCTAAATTTTTGGAGACATATTATGTGAGACAGCAGACAATTGAATTTTCCTTCGGGGATTAATAAAGTTATTTTATTCTTATTATTATTCTTATCATGGCACACTGTTTCCTAAAAATATCCAATACAGACTTTAAATCATTCATTGTCTATTCTCCATTTGTCCCCTTTGTTGTTTTGATATAACACACCCTTTGATACACTATACTGGTAGGTTATTTCCAATCCTTCAAGGGAGCCAGGAGAAGTCATCAGCAGTCTTTCATGATTAAATTTAAATAGGTTAAAATGACTTCCTCTGTCCAGCTTTCTAAAACATTGTGCATTTATAGTTTTCTGAACTTGGAAAGATTATTGCTTTTTATTACTGCCCTGCCATCTTTCCCACTTTTTTTTTTCATTTTCCTTTTCTCTTTTTGTTATTGCTCCCTTCTTTACAAACTGAAATGTCCCCTTTATTTGTTGCACTTTTGGCAATTTTGTCTGCTCTATCATCCCCTTTATTGCCCACAAAGGTATGCACCAGACTGAATTGTACATCCTTTCATATTTGTCTTAGAGGGCTCTAGTGAATTTCTAGTGGAAGATTTTCTCTTATTTATTTCACTGGTCTTCAAACTGACAAAGGTAGACAGAGAATCTATGCAGGATACTTTTACTATCAGCTTTACCACTACAGGCCTTTTATTACTACCATCATGTCAACAAACTTGATTATTTGTGCATACACTCATACGCCTTTATTCATGCTTACCTTCAATAATTTGCACATGAAACTGTCTTCTTGGGTTGACAGCCAGTAACAAATGCTTAAAAAAACAAACTTAGGAATGGTTCAATATGACAAATATTTTGAATGATCTAATATTGTTGATCCACTTAACAGGAATACCTTGCAAAAATAAGCAATAAGAGGGACTTCACATCAGTAGTCATGTGATAACCCGACAGAACATGTTCATCTTGTACATTTTATATTTGTTGTATCTGTAGTACTGTCACATAGTTTGAACCATGCTTTATGTTTCATTGTTTTTGACTGCACTGCAGCACACTGGAAATAGAGGCTATGAGATAAATGTGCTGAGTTTGAGCTTTAGAGGTGTTCAGGGGAGATTATTGGGTGAGAAATGAAGGGATCTTGGCCATTTTCCCCTGGGGACCATGAATAAAAAGGGATATGCTTTCAGCACAGCTCAGTGGATATTGACATTAACACCACTGGATCTGAAAGTCAGCAGGATAACCTCAGAGCTACTGCTTCATTGGCTGTATTGTGGGTACTGTCCAATCACATTTTGATATGGTTTAAAATGACACAAAACAACATTTTCTAAGAGTTTTCATTCTTATCCACACTTTTTTTATTGCAGAATCTGAATGTGTTCCCGTGTTCAGGTTGTGTGGGTGTGAGTGTATTTCACTTGTATGAGTATGTGGTTTCCAGTACAGTATGTGATTGAGCTTTGTTTCATATGTGTGCTATATGTGGGGCAGCAATTCCTAAATATGTGTCTAATGGCCCCTCATACTCGTTAGTGGTTAATGGGTTTATTCCCCCATTCGTGTGCTGAAATAGTTAAGAATTATTCTCCACTGAAGTGTTTTTGGAGCTTTGAATCAACGCACAGTTTTTCCTCATAACTAAAATCATTGTTCAGCCTGTTTAGAGATCAAGACGTGTAAGATATATTGAGCACAAAAGTCTTTACATCTCTGCTGTGGTGGTTATCAGTCAGTGGAAATGCAGTAATCTGATTTGTTGGACCACTCCGGCATTCTGTCTTCCTCTGCTGTGCTGCCCACTCCTCTGACCTTGGCATGATAATAACAGGGCTGAAAACCTCAAGCTGCAGTCCAGCAGATGTACTGGAGTAAATATACACTGAAACATACACAACTGTACACATTAATGAATGAGTAACAGTTTGTTTATGTGCTTGGCATCTTTGGTGGAAGGAATGATTGATCTCTTTCAAGGAATTGAACAGAATGAACCAGTAGCCCTGATCCTTTTCTGTCCACCCTCCTTGAGTTGAATTTAACTGAACTGAACTGAATTGAATTTTTTTTTTTCCTATTATATCTCTGACGGTTTTAACTCCAAACCAAACTGCTGATAACCATCCCAAAATTTGGAAATATGAGCCTTTAGTGTTAAAGACTCCAAACCAAACTGCTGATAACCATCCCAAAATTTGGAAATATGAGCCTTTAGTGTTAAAGAGCTATGCTAAAGAAAACCTAATTCAGGAGCTGATGTCAATGATGTTATAGAAAGCTGTGAATCTCAGTCCATGGGTCTGGGCTCAAAAATGTATCACAGAGAGACATTTTCAGTGGATGCATACCTGGAAAAAAGTTGCAGTCAAAGGTCTTTGCTGCTCTTAGCATGATCTGTGTGTTTCTTTTGCACGTGCTTACAATATGGCCGTTTATTCACACCCCGACACAGTAGATGGCAGTAATGTACCTCTATGATGCTTGTCATCTTCCATTAACAGCCACATTTTAGAAATATATATGGTTTTCAAATTTCATTAAGAAGGTCGGGTGGGCCCTTAGGCTCCAGAAGTTCAGACAGTAGACACAGAAGATTTTTCATGGACTGCTTGACAGTCTCTAACATGATAATATATACCGCTGGTTTTCAAAACATTTAAAACAACAGTTTTACAACAAAATTCTAGCCTTCAGTTCAGATCTAAACTTTTATTATTTCTAGTGGCACTGCTATTTTACCACTATGACGCACTAACACAGAGAATTCCTCTTATCTAGCACAAGTGGGCAGTTTGAAACAGGGAATAGTAAGTACTTAGCATCCAAAAATAGTCCGCCATCTAAAACAGTTGAGAGATGTTGGAAAAGTAGATGGACACCCGTGCTCCAGATACCACCTGCTTTCCCGTTTATTTATTGATGGGCCTGAGTTTTCTGTCTGTGGGGAAAATGGGGGGAAAGGGACTTGATGTGTCATATATCTGGTAATAGCTGCCAAAGGGGCAGTTTGATGTGCCTCGCCCTGTGTCATACAAGGACACGGTTTGAGTGACTGCCAAGCGACCACTGTTTCAAATTTTGGCTTACTTTACCCCAAAGACAAGCCACAGATATATGGGTAGATTGTCAGAGCTGTTAAAAACAAAAAATGTGAAAAGGCTGACATGTTGGAGTGCAAACACCAACAGGCTAAAATTATGATTACTTGAGTTCATACTGTATTTAAACTGAAACATTATCACCCTAAAAATCATTAAGCATTATGGATAAACACACATTCATCCTTTTGGTAGGACATAAATGAAACATGGCTGTGAGAGTTAGCATTGCTACACACTTGTACCTCCTAATTTGAACCCAGTTGTTTCATATTCAAAGTGAGGCTGTGACAAAAGATTTCGTTCTTTGAGGAAAGTCAAAAGTTTGTGTTCCTTAGAAGTTTGCCTAAATGAATTAACTTGAGTTCGCCTTAGGGTTTCTGTGTAATTACTTCATGGAAACGACTAACCCAATTTCTCTCTGTGGGTGCAAAATGATCACCGCTAAGTCACGTAATGTGCATGCTGATGTAAAAACACTCAGCTACAGGGGGAAAATGATAAAAACGAAAAACCGTTAACAGCCAAGTGTTCAATATTGAAATTTGGCTCAACGATTCCCTGGTGTAGACGGGTCATGGTAAAAACACAACCAAAACACTGAGAGGAACTCTGGTTCTATTGTGTGATTACAGCATATGTGGTTGGAAAGTTACATTTTGTTTACCTCTAACATTTAAAGCTTTGAAAGTATTTTTCATTGACATAACTCCCAGCCTATGTTTTGACCGTCATGTTTCAAGCAGTGTCCTTGGGGTTTCATAACATGACCTTTAAGGTGAATACCCCTCCCCAGCTGTCTTTGTGAATATGTCTGAGAAACACAATGAAGGACTAAGAATTATTAATTACTTCCAAAGGTTAGTGAAAGGCATTTTCAACAACCTTTATCCTGTGTTGTTGGGCAGCAACTGCATAACAGTTTAGCATTTAAGATGCCTTACAATCAGTTGCTCCTTTTGATTAGCTTATTGTTCCCACCTCCCCGACAGAAGGGTTCACACACATCTGCAGCAAATAGGGCAGAGTTTATAACAGTTTATTCAGAGTACATACTGTATTTTGACTTCGCAAAGACTTTCCTTGAGTAGGGTTGGGTCTCATATGGATTCACAGAAGAGAAGCAGGTTGGATTAACAGCTTCATCAGAGTGAAATATAGAGTACCATGACCTCAATAGTATTGACTGAGACAGGAGTTGATGTGTGCATAAATCGTTGTTCTGTGCATGTACAAGTCAGCTTCAGAGACCATTAGGGTTTTTCAAGCTTGGTCAGCTCTGACCAAATGCACAGTCAGAGTTTATGTCTTGTGAGCTGCCCAGCCTGATGTTTTGTTTTCTACCCACACTGTCTGACTCATTGTTTATTTTGCCATACAAACACTATGAGTTGGAAGATTTAGGCATTGGTGTGGTCCAGTAGCGGTCCAATCCTTTTTTTCTTAACTGTTTTATGGGCATTTTAGACTTTTTAGTGCAGCTGAAGAGGGGAAAAGTGGGGAGTAGAGAGTGGGGGTTGACATACAGTACAGGGTGGAGTCAAATCGATGACTGTGATTAGGACTGAAGCTACAGTATATGGGGCACATCCCTAATCTGCAAGACCAACAAATGCCCTGGTTCACCACTTTTGCATAATGTCAAGTATCTCAAATGTTTAAGATAATTTTGTGCACATATTCATGGTATGTGGAGGACAACCCCTATACTTGTAATTTCTCTAAGCACCACCATAAGGTTACTTTTTGTGGTCTTGGTAAAACTCTCTGATTACTGGATAGATTGCCATAAAATTTGGCACAGAGACTAACTTGTTCATCAGAATAAACCTTTGGAGCTTTGATGGTTCCATAAGTTATTCCATTTTCCTTTTTTAAAAAAAATAATCTTAGGTAATAATTTCAGTAAATTGACCAAACTCTTCAAATACTTCACATCTTGAAAAAAATAGGGTGAACCTTTTTTAATCTTTGTTTCCAATCGACATGTACATGTAAACATTTTGCTTAAAGCATGGTATGGTGACCCTGAAGGTCAACAGCACGCATATTTCAAAAAGGTGACTAAAAATAATTGCATAAAACACACAAACATTTAAGAAAACATTCAATTTTCACAGAAACACAAAGAATTAATATTTTGAAGTCTTAAACAAATTTTGTAAATTAAAAGAATTTATATATAGAATTTTAAAGAAAAAAAAAAGTATATTTATATATATATATACATATATCTCACCTCCCTAAAATATTTGTCTCGTTGACCTTCTGGGCGACTGTAACACAGCTCTAGCAGTTGTATTTTAAAAGCCATACAGTAACAATGTACAGTGTATTAGAATGAGATTAAAAGCAAAAAATAAATTACAACACAACTTTGTGAAGACTTCTTTTTGGTAATAACCTCGTGTCTCAGTGTATCAATCTTACAACCCCCAAAGGTTGGAAATTGCAGACTTAAAAATGTTAGAATTCTTTTTTCTCTTCCCTTCCAGGAGTTCAGAGTTAAAAAAAAACATCAAAAACCAGCACATGTCATCAAAGCATTCATCTTAGCTCTGCTTTTTAAAAGATTCAAGACCCCAGGCCAGCTGTACCCCTGTCAAAAGGGAATTCAGCGAGGATCAATGAATATCTTCACTACTTTCACACAGCCACTCCATTGTTTCCTTCATGCCACTGATACCAGACTTCAAAGACAAGGCTTTTTACAGGGGAGATGAGGAGCTGTGACCTCTATGCTCCCAGCTGAAGCAGTGAAATTCTTTTTATACGCCTTTCTCCAACTTTGTGATTAAAAGCTCCAGGACACATACGCAAAAATAAAGGCGGGTAATGTTGCATTCACAAAGATGAGACAGGACTTTGATCTCATTCAGGAGTGAGAAGTATGCTGGGAGCTAGAGACAGACGAGGTTGTGTGGTTGTGTGTGTACAGACAGAGTACACCTGTGTGTTTTTGTGACACAAAGGACATGAAATGAAAATATAGGAGTAAACTCACAATTATAAGCATCTCTTTGTTCCAGAGTGGAAAGAAAAGGCTCATGAAGGAACATTCCCATGTTGCCAAGGCGACATTGTTGAAATCTCTCTGCCAGATTCACTCTCAGCACTTACGCTTAATTTACCATAATCACATGGGGCCATTTTCCCGTAACGTCATACTCGGGGTTGGAAGCTTAAATCCTGTTATTATGTTGTATTGCTGTTCTCCAGCTGTAAACGTATCACAATTTAGAGTCCCTGATCAATTACTCTAATTTAGCTTCTTCTGCTTTTGAAAAGACAATATATAGTTAATTACACAGGGATAGGACCACTCTTCAAGCCGAAAGAAACATATTTCTAATAAAGCAGGTCATGACACGACTAACAATGGCCTCTGTTAGCTATTTGGTCGTGTCCCAATTCATGGGTAAGATCCTTTGAAGGGCCAAACCTTTGTGGCCTGTGTAGGCTATTTGGGCTCAACTTAAATCAGGTCTAGTTCCCTGGATCTAAAAAGCGAACTAGTAGGGAATCACTGAAGTTATGACAATTTGTTTGGTTTGATTCCCATTTATATGATTTAGAGCCAGGAGAGTTTCATCTATCCACCCATGTTATTCAAGAAAAAGACTTACCATGCAAATATGTTAAATAGATCTTCAAGATCTGCCAACTAGTACAGTGTCACAGTAATAGAAAAGATGCCAAGCATGCTCCGAATTACATTCTGCTGCAGAGACTATAAAAGGAGGACAAAAAGATGCTTTGATCCACTTTAAAGCAAAGTCTATCAAGACTAACACATGGTTGATAACACATACAACACCCATCTAGCTGCCAGCCACAGAGGAGCATTCAGATTAATCTGATAAAGCTGGGGAACACTGACTACCAGTGTGCTCTCCGTTGATGAGGACAGTAATCCTATTTTCTCCCGTTTCACTGTCAAAGCTCTTCCAACAATCGACAAGAGCTGTAGCATAACCTCAGGGGTTGTAATAGGAGTGAATGCAGAGCAGCAACCGTTATATGAGCCTCTCTTGGGCACTGGGATGCATTACTATGGTTTTATCAATCATTCAGCCCTATCATAACATACAAAGACAAATGCTGCATGACAATAGAACAAGACTGACTTTTGACTGTGAACGAGAGTCTCCAGACAGAGGTTATTTGCTTGCCGCTGTGACTAGTTAAATGGAGAGCAACAGACTTGACATGTTTTAAATAAGCTTAACCAGTAAAACATCTCGTTGGAGGGTGTGGGAGCCCTGTAACAACGGAATGAACATTGTAGATCCTGCGACAAACAAAAGCTTTTTGCTGGAGCCTGGGGTATATGTGGTTCTATAGCAGATAGTATTAATCAACATAAACATTATATGTTAGAAAATAAAAATAATCAAACCCCTGTGTGCCTATCGTAATCTTTGTTGTACAACACAGCTGCTGCAAATATTGCCAAAATTGCAATTTGCATACATTTGCAGTGAATAATAAATGAAAGGATTCTGTATATTTCTACCATCTGCAAACGTGACTGGTATTTACAAAACTGTTCATACTTTCTAGGATAGCTGCTGTTGAGTGGTAAAAGTAACTCCTTACACCCCTCAAGCTTTGAATAAGATGTTGCTCCCACATCAACAGTAAAATACTAGTACTTGTTATTAAGTTAGTTAGAACTTAAACTAATTTTGTGTGATAAAAGTGATAACACTGATGGTATTGCATATGTGGACATGTTTGTTGCTTTCATGTGCAAAGTTTCTCAGGGGTTGTGTGTGTGTTTTTTCTTGTTATGGTATTTTATCTAATAACCATGCTAACAACAATGGGACAAACTTCTCGCTTTACTCGACTGTGACGTCATTCCACAACATCCAACATTTGAGGTCAAAGGTGAGGGAAGCTTGTGAGGTCATGGGACACTTGCTTTACCCAGATGGTACTCCAGCCCTGTATGCAGACAGTGTAGCTACACATTTAATCCTTTAAAAGTGAGACTAAGTTATTAAACAGGCCTACTGGAGGAGCAAAGAAAGACAGAAAGAAGGAGCCCACAGCTGCAGTCAATCATCCATGTACTGTCATGCCAGGGAACCAAAGGAGCAACTTTGGGTGGGGTGTACCACTTTATTGATTTTAATTCCATTAATACCTCATGACGAGTTTTCTTGGCAGACTCTCCCAGGCCCACATACGCCTGTTTTCATAGTAGATTTGATCAGGCTGCCTTATCGCCTGGCAGCAGACAGGAAAAGGTGCAGGAGACGGCGGAGAGAGGAGCGATCCACAGTGGAAACAACAAGCTTAAATGAAGAATGATTGGAGAGGTTTGCCAACCTAACCGCTCCATGCATGAGAGATGACTTCTGTGTGTGTCTAAGAGAGGGAGGGAGAGAGAGAGAAAGAGTATGGGTGTGGATGAGAGGAAGGGAGGGGTACCACTGACTTTACAAGCACCTGATGAATGCACATCAAATCCACTTTACTCAGCAATCAGAAGATGCATGTGAATGAATGAATGAACCAGTCACTACATTAAACATTTACATAAGGATTCCAATAAAATGCCATTTACATTCAGGCTTTGCGTAAATGGATTACGCACCAGGCTTCTGCCATTTTAAACTTTACATTCATCTCATTTTGTCATACGCAGGGTCAGAGTCAGCGTGGTACCGCCGTCAGAGACTGTCCCTGCCCTCACGCTGGCTCCAGCAGGCTGCCTAGTTTTGCGGTTGCGTGGAAACTAACACGGCTGCACTGAACGATCCCTGCCTGTACCGGAGAGGAGCATTACCAGCGGCGCTTGTTGGTGGTTGTCTGAGCGGCTCTCAGACACAAGTTTAACGATCAGCAAAGAGGATCTTATGGGGACGGATCAAAACAGTGGTGGGACCGCCTGTTTACGAGCGCTCTGATCCTGGTGATTTCACTGAGGAGCGATTGTGGCGCTCGGACACGCATGATGAAAAGAAGAGGGAAAGCAGCTGAAACGTGAGTGCTACATGTGTTTTCTGTGTGATATTGCATGCGTGTACAGTAAATACGTTTTAAAGTATACAGTATGTTTTTTTTTCCAGATCTCAAGCGAGTTTATAATCATGATTGAAGCAGGAAACAAAAACTTGAAGGTGCCGAGATAAGCACGATGAAAGTAAAACTTAAGGAGGGTATCAGTTCCCAAGAGGTATCCTATCGCCTTTAATCGCCTTGTTTAGGGTTGATTGTTAAGCAGGATCTAAAACCTAGACTGAACCAAGATTTAGCCACTTGTTACGCTCAATTTTGCAGCCTTTATAATCTGGTTAATTATTAAAATAAAAGGTAAATTTGCTTGTTATGTCAATATTTCTTTAATATAGAAGTCACGCGCAGGAGACTATTATTAATCTAAATCTCGAGGAGAAACGTAAATTCAAAATAACTACAGATTAAAACTGCATTAAATGTTATCATATACATTCTGCACCCCTGAGTCCATGCATGTTGCACTTAAGTAAAAGTCTGCCTCAGTTACAGTAGAAATCAGTCAAATGCTTTAATGTGACCCAGGAAGCAGAAATAAACCTCTTTAGTAACTGGGATAGAAATGGACTAAAGAGATCAGAAAAAAAGATAAATCTAAAAGCATTAGAACAGGATTGCAGTTGCATTAAAAGCCTGCGCTTTAAGTGAAGATGCAGTGATGCTTTATTTTCCTGCTTCCCCTTCTGATGTCCACACCCCCCATTGATAGAACCAGATGCACATTTGCCATTCATGCAATTCTTACAGCTGAGATCAGATGCCAGTAAGAGGTCAGAGTCATGCATGAAAAACAAATGTCAAGAAATTTAATGACATAATAAATTGTAAATGCATATCATGGTTGGGTCTGGGTCCAAATTATTGTCCTCCATGTGATTGGTTCAGGAGAATTGCTTTTGCAAGCACTGACAGTGTAAATTTATGACATGAGAGATTGACCTTTGCCTGCCTGAGTGTTGTTTCTTACAGGAATAGACGGTGACTTAAAGGACATCAACATAGACTTGAGCTGATTTAGAGGACAGTTTTCACAGAGTATAGCTGTGGGATGGGCTAAATTTCATCTTGAGGGTGTAGACCATTCACACAACGACTCTTTTGTTGATGGTAATGTCTGTGTGAGGCAAATACTGGAGGGGAAACTAAATCTGGAATATTTTTCATGCACCCTGGGACTCATTACACACTCTCTTGCGGTTTATCTCACTTCTCCTTTTCACAGGCAGCTGTCTTCATCAGCTGTGTCTTACAAACATTTGCCCCTTTCCCCGATATCTCATTAGTGTCACACACTGTTCTCCCCGTTGTTATCGTAATGTTACCCTTCTCCTTAAACCCTCTTGATATCATTCGTTATCTCACAACCCTGTGCTCCTCATGTGTCCAATTACTCCTCTTGCCAAAATGCTTTCTCCTCCTTCTCCTCTGTTACCAGCCTTCTACCCCCACTTCCCCCATTATCTCCCAGTAAACACTAGGCGGGCATACCATATGACAGGGAAAGTATAGCCTTTATAAGGCCGTATTGTTACCCATTCAGTTAAGGCATGTGTCGTGTGGTTTTACTTTCACTCTTCTGACTTGTAGGGTAGAAACCATCTTTGGAAGATGCCCCTGATCCAGAGATATGCATGTCGTTCACTTGTGCTCCAGCTTCAATCTCTCTCAGAGGATCATGATTGGTTGTCTGGTGTGCATCTCTTGAACACAAGATAACACAGTCAATAACACAGTGAGTGTTATTAGCCATGTCTTAGACATATCATCCATCCCCTTCACACACACACACACACACACACACACACACACACACACACACACACACACACACACACACACACACACACACACACACACCAGCATTACCACAACACTCTGTCCTCCACCCCCCATCGTCATGTGATACTTAGAGGTACTTAGAGATCGATTTCATTTTTTAATCTTGGTAAGTGGATCTTGCCCAGTCTCCAGCCATTTTGAAGAAATTAAGAAGTCCGGTTGAACTCGGCAGTTTGTCTCAACAGACGAAAGGCCCTCACATTATCTTTTTTTGTTGGCCTCAACGCTGTTCATAGCATGAGCATTTACCCCCAACATAAAGATTGGGTAGCCAACACTGATACTAGACTGACTTGAGGAGTTTTTCCTTAAGAGGATTAGTAATAGGATAGGAGGTAGTCCTGATCAGCTATTAATGAAGTGTGTCAGGGAGGGTTGATCTGTTATTTTCAAAGACATACACACAAAAAAGAGTGAAATCTACCAGGCACACACACAAGCCTCTACCTCTGTGTGTTACTTACACTTTTGACTGAAAAGAATAGCCGCTGCAAAGATGAACAGACATCAAGAAATAGGAGAGTCAATTTTACCAAATCTAATGCACCATAATAACTGCTACAAGTTTAAAAAGGATATTTGGCATAATGATCATCCCACCCCATTATAAGTACAGTCTTTCTTTGTTTTGCTCAGGACATTTTCCTTCTCGCTGTGTCTCATGGCTATGTTGATACTGGTCTCTGTGTACTGGAATGTTCCTGCATGGCAGGGATGTCAATTATAAAAGAGACACGGTGATACCAAAGGGTTTTCAAGCTTGTTAATTGTGTTGGCATGAAGGAACTGTTTGATCCTTAGACTTCTCTGTAAATGTAACAGAAGTGCATTCATTTCTGCCCAGAAACATGCAGAAACGAGCACGTAGTCCTCACATTGCCGCCTCATTACAATTCGACAAGCGCCCGTCACCCCCACCTCAGAGTTGAATAAAACAGTGTTCTCTGTTAATCACTAGTGTTTTACCTGAAAAAGAAAAATCTGCACAGTTCAGTTCTCCCATTCTGTTTAAGTGTAATTCTGTTGTTTTTGTCATAGGCTCAACAGCTACTGGGGAGGTTGATGTGGACACTATCCCTTGCATCCTGGAGCATGCCAGTATCCCATGATGCCTCTACTTGCAGACTGGCTTCTGCGCCACTCGGTGGTCATGTGTTTGCTGCTGCACAGCTTGGTGCTTATGACCTTCTGTTTCCATCATGCTGCCACCAGTTGCTCCAAGAGCTGCTACTGCTCTGAGAACGAAAGCGCCGGCAAGACAATGCGCTGCAGCAATCTGCAACTCACAGAGATCCCTCAGGATATCCCTAACGACACTCGCAGAATCTACCTGGACTTTAACCTCTTAACATCAGTCCCAAAAAATGCTTTTGCAGGGTTGTCTCAGCTGGTGGAGCTGGATCTATCGCACAATGAGTTAAGCCAGTTAGAACCGGGGGCTTTTGGAGGGCTTGGATCCTCTCTACAATTCCTGGACCTTTCTTCCAACAAGCTTGTCAACTTTAACCCTGATGCTTTCGAGGGCCTGCAGGCTCGCGCCAACCTGACAAACAATCCATGGCATTGTGACTGCAACTTGCAGATGGCAATGCCTCGTGTGGACCTACAGCCTGCATCTTTAACAGGCATAGTGTGCCAGACTTCAGATCCAGAGGAGACAGGAGTTCAAGGACTTGCCTTCCTGTTAGCTCCAGAGGTAGACTTATGTGCGGTGATGAAGAGGACTACAGATGTGGCCATGCTGGTTGTAATGTTTGCCTGGTTCACCATGGTCATCTCCTACCTTGTCTACTACGTCAGGGCCAATCAAGAGGACGCCCGCAGACACCTGGAATATCTCAAGTCTTTGCCCAGTAGACAGGGCAAGTCTGAGGAGTCTTCCACCATTAGTACAGTTGTATAAGAGTAAAACACGGACCTTAGCGGGAAACATAGTCTGAACTGGTTGGAACTACAGTCCTGCAGCCTCACTGCCGTCATTAGTGTCAGATGCTTTTTCAAGCTGTTGTCATGGAATCAAGGTGGGCAACAAGATGTGCCTGCACAAGGAACGGGGCCATTGCAACCTTGTCCAGATCAATTATTCATCTTTCAGCTGCCCATTGAGAGTATTGTAGACTGAGATGATGGTCAAGTCTGCGCTCAATTTGAGAAAAAAGCATCAGTATTTTTGTCAGTCTCCAAATATGGTATACAAATGGGATTTATTCAGTTGTGCATGCATGCACATTGATGCACGTCTCCCAGACACAATCCAAGATGCAGCATCAGATAGTAATAGAAACACCATGAATAGGTAACAGTAGAAAGAAGAACTCCTAGTAAAACTGTTTCCCATTCCTTATGGTATTCACTGGTATACTACACATATTAAACAAAGTTTTCCATTTATGTCATCGTTTTGGCTGTTTGTCTTGAAAGAAAATGTCACGGTTTCACTAAAGTGTACAGAACCTGAACCTCAAGAAATGCTATATTCAGTTCACTCTGCTGATGAATCAGATTTCTGTGTTATGAAGGACTTATCAGTTATTCTGTGATGTATAATAGAAGCTACTGTACAGGAGATCCATACTGATGAGACCTGCAAACCTCAAAGCTGCCTGGTAATGTTAAGAATATTTGACAAGAGACTTCTGTTAGCCTCAGTAACCGTCAGAAACCTCGAATGACCCATACATCAAGCTCTGAACTGCACACAGAGATTTTTTAATGAAATGTAGATTCACATTTTCTTTGCAGTTCTATGCTGAGAGACATTATTTCAGAGCTGTTGAACTATTTGCTTGTGCAGTCTCTTAAGGGGTGGTGAACCCCTTTGCACTCTGACTTTTGACAGACTCAGCCTCTGTAGAATACTTGTTTTAAACAGACAGGCTCAGTGGTTGTTGGTTGTTCCTCAGTCAGAAGGTTAGGGGTTCAATCCCAGGTTCAACTATCCACTTGCCAAAGTACCCTTAAGCGATACATGCAAAGCAAATCATGGTGCAACTGCAGGAAAAGCTTCATCCTTCCTCTTCTACTCTCTGAACAAAAGAATACCGATAAGTAAGGAATCTGACTATTCAGTCTACAATTGTAAATCTACTGTAAATAGCTTTCAAACATTTAGATTTTTTTTTTCTTTGACAGTGCAGTTAAGTTCATTCCCCCAGTCTCATTTAGGAAACCATGAGGAATCCATCTTGATCACACCTTGTTAGCAAGAGAAAATCTCTGCTCGTGAGCTGATTTTCCTTTGTCTTGCATGCCTTCAGTAAGTGCCTAAGGTGCCTCTGGGAGCCATATCGTCTGACGCAGTCACTCTTATGGGTTTTACAAATAACATTTATGGGGCCATGACCCACTGATGCATTTGCAGAGCTGTAAGGGATGTGGATCTCCTATTTCACCAGACCGTAGCAAAAAGGAAAAATGCATTTGTGTCTCTTCTGATGAAATTGTCAATACAAACAGAGACCACAGAGAGGAAATGTGTTTTAGCACAGATAAAACTCACACTGTAAGCTCAGCTCTTGTTTCTCGACAGACTCAGACAAGAATCACAAAGTGCACCCTTGAGTTACATAATTTGATGCTTTAAGATGTGAGAAATGGTTTGTCAACAAGGATTTCCTCGAGTCAGACACAAATGCCTCCAGAGCAGAACAAGACTACTAAAAGATTCATGTTGACCATAAAAACACTTGAGAAGAGAGTCGGGGGATACACCCATCATCTTATGTGACCTAGTTCTTGAAGGGAATGGAACGGGGAATGCCAGGGGATCAGCTGCTCCCTCTGCTCCCTGGTTTACCCTTGCTTGGGTGACGCTATTTCCAAATGTCCCATAGCTGCTGAGTGAGGTTCAAGAGCGATCACAATGGCAGCAAAAGTCACTTCAACCTTTCCCAAAGGAAGCTCTCAGGCTTTAAAGGAGTAGTTTCTCATCTTGAAAAGTAGCTTTGTTGCTCTTTTCCTAAAAGTTAGATGAGGTCATAAAACTCTTCTGTGTGTCTGTGTTAAATACCAGATTGATCAAAATATTAGATATGTTTCTTTTCTAACAAGCACATATGAACAAGTGGGTTTAATGATTTAATGTATTTGTCAGTGTGGACCAAGTGTACCCTTCATGACTGGAGCCAGCCGTCACTCACCACTTCCGTGCCAGAGGGATGAAAGATGGAGAGATGCTGTGACGGAAGAAAAATAGCACAAAAGCATGACAAGTAAACTGATAAGTTAGGTGGAGTCATGGTGTCTTTTTGTAAGACAATGGTTATCAGTGCAGCAGACATTACACCCATTGAGTGCAGGATATGAATCCAGTTATCATAGCAAACCAACAGGTGTTACAATGATGAAAGCAGGCAAGTGAACTAGTTTAGATACCAGTGACTGATTCAGCCCAAACTGCAAAAAAGCTAATTGTTTTCTAAAGCTCTCCACAACTGGAAACATGGCAAAACTGTGATAGGCCTAAGTATGCCGACTAATATATTCCTGACCAGGTAAGCAGACGGCCAACAGGTACAGGTAAGTCTGATTACTGCTTTCATATCCAGCACTTAAAGGGATATTCCAGCGAAAAATTAAGTTAGGGTCAAACACACCGTAACACAGAGTTAGACACCCAGTCAAGAGATGAATGTTGCCGACCGCTTGCTTCTCTGGTTACACCCACTTTAGATCATTAATTTATCATTTCCTTGAAGTAATAATCGTCATATTAATGACGTGGAAGTTCTTCTGCCTTAGCGTCTCTGTCTGATCGCATTTCCATGAAGTAATAATCATAAATGTTCTTCCTTGAGCTGCATCCCCTCGCTGCAGTCGATGGACTCGCCGTACTCTCTGGTCTCCATACAAACAAGCGGCTACTGGAAGAGAGATGATGAGTTGTGTTTAGTCTCTTTGCTAAAGAAATCAGTCAAAGCAAAAAAGATGTTTGGTGGCTAGTACTATGGCTGGGACCCTATATGTACTGTTGATGAAGTTAGGTGCTGGTCTGAGCATTATTTATGGCTATAGAGTGGCTTTTTGGTTGAGCGCGTGGCTCTGTGTATTGCTATCTGCAGTCGTTGCTGAAGTTGGTATAACTAGAGAAGCAAGTGGTCAGCAACATTCATCTCTCAACGGTGTGTCTAACTCAGTGTTACGGTGTGTTTGACCCTTACTTAATTCTACGTCTGAATATCCCTTTAATGTGTGTCCAACCAACTGCATGTATGTGCCTTACAGTTGCAAACCTGGTCAATTAAAAACAAAAACAGACCAGAATAAAAACTGTAGAGGAGATTCTGGTTGCTGTATTGTTGCCAGCGTAGCAATCATCTCAACTTGACAGGTTTCTTTCATGTCCTGTGGCCTTCAGTAAACCACAGATCACCTTGTTGTCCTCATCCTTTTGATTCTTCATACAGATGTCAAAGCGGTGATGCTAGATTGATTCATTTTAGGCCCTTTGTTTTTTTTTTTTGCTAGCCCTGTGTGGTGAACAGTTTCCATGCTCCATAGTTTCTATTAACAGGGTGAGTTGTTTTACAGAAAACAATGATATTGATCTCGACAGAGTTAATCTCAAGGAAGCCCAGGTACAACCTCCCATGACGAGCAGGAGGTTCAACAGTACTGAAAAATAGATGGTAAGCCTCTCTCTGTGACATTTCCTGCCACACACACACACACACACACACACACACACACACACACACACACACACACACACACACACACACACACTGCTCTCTTCTCCTCTCTCTGATAACAGACTCTCACGGTGGCTTTGAGACCAGCCACCGTAAAGGGAAGCTCCCCCGCCAGCAGAGGAGATAAACACAAAACTGGCCACAGGCATGTGTGGTACGTACACCTAATGTATGTGAGTGCTCCTATTCTATTGTCTGCCTGTATGTACAACAGGTGTGTGTGCATGACGGGAGTGAGGGTACCGGTAATGTAACACCTCTGTTCCCCGGCACACATTAAGTCCCTGAGGTTAATTTAAATTTCAGGCCGGCTCAGCTTGCCCCGCCTGCTACCTTGGACACGTTACACTGGTGTGAGCATTACAACTGCTGGGTAATGGGACACAAAGTGGGGGATAAGGTGACGCATCCAATCCCACAGAGCGCAGCCCAGTTCGGGGTTGAGTTGCAGGCAAGAACATTTCCAGACTCAGAGATCACATGGGGTCTCCCAGTGAGGGCCTGTTACAGCACCTGATTTCCTCCTATGGACCAATAAGGTGGGTGAGGACGCTTCACACAGGTAGAGTGAATGGATGTGTTTTCGGTGAATGACTACATTCATGTGATGTGTGTGTCCTCCAGAGGGCGATATTGAGACGATAGACATTCAGAGATGTCCTTTTAGTAAATACTGTGAGAAAAATGTGAGTCATACAGCTCCCCCTGTTGTAGAAACTGTGCAAGTGTCAGAAAAATAAATCATGTTTTGAAGAAGTGAATAGGGGAGAGTGGGGTAAGATGAGCCATTTTTCATATTTCTGATCACTACATCAAGGCGATCATAGTTTTGTTTCTAACTAGTGTATCTGCATATATTTCAAGATGTTGTGCATCTCTTTAACAATATATCTTAACAATATCATCCCTGCAAACCAACAGAATGAGTGTAAACATAACTGTCTTGGTAATATAGCATGCCAAAAAAAAGTGTATGGGGTAAGTTGACCATAGGAGCGGGGTAAGTTGAGCCATATCCCTACTACCCCCTCACTCTCCACCCCAGCGTGATCAGAACTGAAACTCTGATCCTCTCATCAGACTCTTTTAAATTGAGCCACTGACTTAGAACTACTATTATGACTTTATTAGTCCTCTAAGCTAAAATGGTGGACTTTATGCTTAGTTTTTGACCTCATGTTGTAGCTCATAGATACCACAATTGATGAATAAAACAAATTTAAAATGATCTTTTTTTGGTCTGAACACAATTCTAATAAAACTTAAAACTAAATTCACTTTCAAGAGTGATAAAATGTTTTTTTGTTTTTTGTTTTTTTAAATAAATGTTTTACCCCTTCACCCATGTGCTTCTAACCTTCACAGACTTCATGAATTGATGCCCATCTCCTTAATATTTGGTCACATGACAAATTTCTTTTATCATTTCCGAGCAACATGGGGAGGCTCAACTTACCTTTTGGTTCAACATACCCCACCCTCCACTATAATTTTTTCATTAAGATAACTACTCTGGTTAATCATTTCCCTGGAACCCCAGAGGCAAAATGTGATATACCTGTTCAGGGTGTAGTTAGCAAAAATGTGATTTAATTCCATCAATATATTTAAACACAATAGGACCTCCATATTCAAGACCCCAAGTTGTATTTTTATTTTTGTTGTGTTTTAATTAAATAGAAGAAAATGACACAAACAAACATTTTAACATGAGAACACCTTTAAGTGATTCAGAACAT